CCGGTATAGAATGGGCCACCCCTTCCTATCCCGGGGGTGTCGTAAGAGACTAAGGGAGGGCGAGGAATGGGCAGCAGTGTCTCTCTTAAAACATCTCTAGTCTAACTGCGGTTGCCAATCCGCCTGCAAAGCATGGCCACTACTGGCAAAACTCTCCAAGAGGGAGGCTTGTGTTTTTTTATACAACTTAGAATGGCAAACAAGCTGAAATGGCAAATGGCAAACAATGAAATCAGTAAAATTTTTGTCTGTCTGCCTGTATGTTCGTTGTAGAAACAAAAACTACTCGACGAATTTTAACGAAACATGGTACAATTATTCTTCATACTCCCGGGCAGGTTATAGTATACTTTTCATCACGCTACGATCAATAGGAGCAGAGCAGTGAAGGGAAATGTCAAAAATGTCCACCCGCGCGACGCCGGGACGGGCCGCTAGTTATTAATATTATTCGTCACGTTGCTTGGTCGACTGATCTGTTTTCATCCTCACCTATCATCCCTCACTGGTGCCCCGCCAGTGTATACCGATAGCGCAGGCGGGGTTTCCATTCCCATTATCATCCCATTAAAAAAACATCTTCCCCCTGCGCGTAAGGTTTCCCTTACGGTGACGTAACCCCTGACTGTGGTCAAGGTCTGCGCACAGTTGCTTTCCGCAATAATGATAAGAAACGTTCGGCCGCATACTAGCGACTAGTCGTTGCGTTTTGTCGCACACCCTACACGATTAATGTGTAAAAAAGATAAAAGGCGTAAAAGATCGATAATATTAATTATAATTATAGCAAAACGATTGATAATATTTTTCAACAACTTGCGAGAGAAGGGAGTTATCAATTCGTTTATTTTATTTGATGCTTGCTGTGTTGTTGTTTATTTTTGTAGTGCAAAAAATGCGGTTCTATGATTTAAATTTAAATATTTACAACTAGCAACCTGCCTCGGCTTTGTACGCCATAAATACTATACTATACTAACTACTACTACTATACATAAATACTATTATATATATATAAATTTAATTTAATATTAGCTTTTTAATAGGTAAAATTTTGATGCTTTGGGTTAGATTATTGTAATTTTTTTAGAGATCTCTATTTTTTTTCAAAAGCTTTTATTACCTTATTTTAGTCGCTGAAATTCTATCTTTCTATAGATGAGTATTTATAAAACCTTTATTTGTACCTTATATATGTCGTTTGTACAGCACTCGTGCACTTTAGTTGCCCACTAACGACATATTTTGTCATTGCATTGGGTTGATTGAAAAAGATCTTTGTATTGTAAAAAAATTTTTGTATTGGAAAAGATCTCTTTTAGAGATAAGTCCATCCTTGCTGTACTTGCACAGTAACTGATTGTCTTCGTATATATATTGTATAGTCGGCCTTTTTGTCATACATTTTTTGCAAGAAAGAGTAAATAAATAAAAAAAATCCACTAGATAAAACTCAATAGAGCGAAGCATTACTTCACGCCGGATCAGCGATTAATGCTCTACAAATCGCAAATCCGGCCCCACATGGAGTATTGCTGTCACTTATGGGCAAGAGCACCTAAATACCAGCTTGAACCTTTCGACTCGTTGCAACGACGCGCTATGAGAATTGTCGATGATCCCAGGCTCACAAGCGGTATCGAACCCTTAAGTTTTAGGAGAGATTTTGCCTCACTCTGCGTGTTCTACCGCCTGTATTAATTGTTCAATATGATGCCCACAGCCACTTTCTACCATCGTACGGCTCGCCATCGACAGGGAGTTTATCCTCATGTCCCACAGCCTCAATGGTCGCGTACTGCGCGGTTTCAGAGATGTTTCCTCCCACGAACACTCTGGTTATGGAATGAGCTCCCTGCCGAGGTTTTTCCAAGAGACTACATGCTGCATAGGGTTCTAAAGAGGGTATAAAGAGGTTTCTTCAGGGTCGGCAACGCACGCATAATACCTCTGGTATTGCAGGTGTTCATAGGCTACGGTAACCACTTACTATCAGGTGGGCCGTATGCTTGTTTGCCACCTCAGTGGTGTAAAAAAAATTCTTTCTTAACAGTACGAAAAAAACGCAGCTGCCGTTGGTCTGCGCCCGTCCTTATACGAGGTTTGTCCGGAAAGTACGTATAAAAGTTTTTTAAAAATTTTATTTTACAATTATTCAGGTAAATCAATTTTATCCCCTTCAAAGTACTCCCCCTGTGACATAATGCACTTGTGCCAACGCCGTTTCCACTGTGAGAAGGCTCCTTGAAAGTCCTCTGGTTGTAGGTTTCTCAGCTGCCCCGTCGTAGCTTTTTTTATCTCATTTATGTCCCCCAAATGCCGCCCCCGAAGTACCAATTTGGTTTTTGGGAACAAGAAGAAGTCACACGGGGCCAAATCCGGCGAATAGGGGGGTGTTCGGTCACCGTAATGGAATTTTTACTCAAAAACTCACGGAACGATCTTGGCGCAAATTTTTTTCATTTGAAGTTCGTTTCTTAGAATTTCGTGGACCACGGTTTTGCCCAAATTAAGCTCTTCAGCCACCTGTCTGACCGTTAAACGACGGTCCCCATTAACACAAGTTCGAATTCTTTCCACGTTTTCGTCGGAATGTGAAGTGGAAGGACGTCCTGAACGTGGGTCATCTTGAACGCTTTCTCGGCCCTCTCTGAATCTTTTTAGCCACTTGTGGACGGTTGGTTCCTTCACAGCATCATCCCCATAAACTGTTCTGAGATCGGCAAAAATTTCACGGCCATTCTTGCCGAGTTTCGAGAGAAACTTGATTACGACGCGCTGCTCTTCAACGGAAGCGGGCTCCATGCCGACGGGGTTTCGTTAAGAGGTAACTTCACAGATGGCGTGACAAGCCAGTTCGCACCGCACGGCGGTCAGACCAGAACTGAAGCATTGTTAGGGACATAAGGAAGGGGTCCTGCGCTTACCTGGCCTCCCCACTCCTCTTTCTCGCATTCCAGAACACTTTTATACGAACTTTCCGGACAGACCTCGTAAGTGTTTACAACGCGCCTCGATCGATGTGCCCTCGCTGAACCGACTGTGTTTGTTTATATGTTGTATTGGCGATAATGTTGTATGTAATTATGGTATTTTTTTTTATACAACATTTTTTTTTTTATACAACTTAGAATGGCAAACAAGCTGACGGCCTACCTGATGGTAAGTGGTAACCGTCGCCTATAGACATGAGCAGTACCATGGACATAACAGAGTGTACTGTTTCGCCCGTGATACCCCCGATGCCATTCCAGAGGACTTAGGTGTTATTTCTCTGTACTACAGATGAAACACAGCCATGCAAACGACTTTTGTACACAGTCTACTTCTGGTAAATAAATAAATAGCTAATTGTACATAAAAAATATATTATATATATATATATATAAAATTCCGAGATCCACGTGTACGAAGTAGCGGTCAAAAAGCTAGTTTAATTATTTCAGTAACATGAAGAAAGACGTACACAATACATAGATTAACTCTGATCCGAATTTATGATCCTTCTAGCCCGGACTAAATTAATTGTGTTGTGTTTACAACGATGCTTACCACGAAGTGTGGCAACGTCGGAATTTTTTGTCAATTTTGAAAAATAAGACTTGACTTCCAAGCGTGGCAACTACTGGCAAAACGTCCCTTATAGGAGGGGGGGGGGGGAGGCTTATGTCCAGCAGTGGACAGTTAACGGTTGATATAATTATATATATAAAGGCTATAATATCTCCTCCCTCTCTCTTCACAACTGGAGCACTGGGTCACTGGATGACATCATGCGGTCAGTTCCATGCGGTACGCGTGACGTCACTGAACACTACAGTGGATTTATTTTTACTTTAATAAACCTATGGCATATGGCAGACTTTTTTATTGATGGATGAAAATGGTATGGAATCCCGCCTGCGCTAACGGGATACGCTGGCGGTGCACCAGTGAAGGGTGATAGATGAGAATGAAAACAGGCCAGTTAGCCCATCATGATGAATTCATCAGGAATTAACTATGATAGTTTCCAAGGGGAGTCGCGAAGAGGTCGACCTGGTTGGGTATATTGCTAGCAATTGGATTCTCAGTCTCCATTACTAACAATCCCTTTCCCCCCTATATGGCGGACTTAACACCATTTGGCGTTATCTACCAGTCGAATATCATCATCACCATGTCAGCCATTTTTTTTAATGGATGATAATGGAATGGTAACCCCGCCTGTGCTATCAGTATACGCTGGCGGGGCACCAGTGAGACATGCTAGACGAGAATGAAAAGGCAGGTTAGTTCACGATGGTTTTCGAGGGTAACCGCGTGGAGGTCGACCTGATAGGGTGTATTACTAGCAATGAGTTCATTATACCCCCATTACTAATAATCCCTTTCCACCCCTACTAATATATATTATATAATGTAGGTATGGAATCATATAGATATACATTTATGCGTGCAGTGCAGTAAGAAAATTGTTTAGTAATTAAAAAGTAAAAAAATTGCCAATTCAGCACTGCACGTACTAGGTTAATGTGTCGTCGAGCAATGCACGAATTTGCTAAGACGATTACTAATTATTCGAATGAGCGATTGATTCGAGTTATTCGAATAATTCGATTACTATGTTTTCAATTGCTAATTTTAGTGGAAAGCTTTGTTAGTAACGCGGACTATCAGTCCCGCTGATAGCAGTATATTCTATTTTTTTTATTGGATGAAAATGGTATGGTAGCCCCGCCTGCGCTAACGGGATACGCTGGCGGGGCACCAGTGAAGGGTGATCGATGAGAATGAAAATAGGCCAGTTAGCCCGTCATGATGAATTCATCGGGAATTAACCATGATAGTTTCCAGAGGGAACCGCGCGGAGGTTGACCTGGTTGGGTATATTGCTAGCAATGGGATTCTCAGTCTCCATTACTAACAATCCCTTTCCCCCCATTATTTAGATATTACTATATATTACTGACTCCTAGTTCAGTGTATGTAATAAATACCTTTTTTTTGTTTATTTCCAGTGCCAACAACGAGCCGGGCCCAACTCGCAGCCGAATACCTGGAGGCATGTCGCAAGCACAACACGCCACCTATCGAGAGCGTCCTACAACAAATACGGGTCAGTTCCCATTATGAGTTCATATTGTACAATAGTTTCTCGCCCTTTACTTTGTACTCGTGCATTTCAGAAGTAGTAAAACCAAATAGATGTAGTAAGACCACTTTTAGATGACGTTTCGAGATAAAATATATATTGGGTTTAAAATGACGCCTTTAAATATATAGCTGTGAAGATCGCATCCAATTTGGTGCAGTAATTATTATGAGATACCGGAACAAACATACAGACTACCTTTTTAATTTTTTTTATACAACTTAGAATGACAAACAAGCTGACGGCCCACCTGATGGAACCGTCGCCTATAGACATGGGTAGTACCATGGACATAACAGAGTATACTGTTTCGCCCATGATACCCCCCATGCATTGCCATTCCTGAGGACTCAGGTGTTATTCCTCTGTACCCTGTAAATTCACGCCATCGCGAGAGGCATGACTATGAATAAGGGTTAGTTTATAACGGTCCATAAAACAGTAATTTTGCGAAATTATTAAATTGAAAATTTTTTTTTAAATGGGTGATAATGGAATGGTAACGCCGCCTACGCTATCGCTATATGTTAGCGGAGCATGATTAATGAGGATGAAAAGGCAGGTAAGTTAGCCCATCGTGATGAATTCCACAAGAATTAAGCACTATGCTTTCCAGGGGGAATCGCGTGGAGGTCGACCTGATTGCAAGCAACGGGTCAGTTAGACCCCATTACTAACAATCCCTTTTCCCCCAAACTGAAATATTAGGTAAAAATATAGATAAATTTAGAGTAAAGGCACCTCAGAATCGATCGCATTATATTAGGCAATACTTATTATTAAAATGTGATATTTTCAAAATGGCCGCCGTCACATGACGGTGGACAGTGCATAGAATGTCAACCTTCCAAATATGGGTATCGAATACAAGAACTTGAAAAGTGGATAACGATAAATGATATCATTTTAATATGTCCGCACCCACAAGATGGCGGATTACGTCATGAAAGATTATTTATTTATTTATTTGTTACTTCTATATCTTATTTTGATCTAAAAATTAAATTACTGACTGAATCGATTTTGATAAAATATTTATGGGACCAATTTGTCTAAATCGGTTTACAACTGACGGAGTTGTGAGGTGACAAACATAAAAAAAATACTACCGAATTGGGAACCTTCTTCCTTTTTTTGAAGTCGATAGAATAGCAGTTTAACATTTTTTTTTTATTTTATTTCAATAAGTACACATTACAGAGAATTAGAAATGTTACATTAATTTTTACGGTACAATAATCTTTTGTTCAAGCTAACCCTCCAAAAATATGCGTACACAGCATGGTCAAAACTTAAACACATGGCTAAATTTTCTATTGTTTGTATGCTGAATAGTCTACATCTCTGTTAAAAATTTTCTCTGGCAAAACCCCACCTTTTATGGAGGAGACCTGTGTTCCGCAGTGGACAGTCAACGGCTTATTATGATGATGATAATTGGCAGGAGGTGAGACAGTAAAAACCTAAAAATAATGATAGGGATAATAACGGGCCATCGCCACAGCCCTCTATGTCGACGCTGTTTTGACGCCGAAGAAACGGCTGTTCACATAATCCCGGAATGTAAAACTGTGGCCCCTCAACGTTTAGAAATCCTCGGAACGGTGAGGGCGCTCCGGGAGGCCTGTGAAGATTCCAGGAAGCTTCTGTGCTTTTGCGCGAAGCTGGCTGGCTGTGTCATACGGATAATGGCCCAAATGAAAGGCTCAGCGTGGAAGATAGAATCCAATTTACACTACATTTGGCAGGAGGTGCCGGAGAGCTGCATCGGCGGCGGCACCCGCGCGGCTAGGCTCACGCTGTCGGGCTGCGCGCTGGTGGGCGCGGCGCCGGCGGACGCGCTCGAGGCTGTGCTCAGGAGGGTGCAGTTCAGGAGGATCGAAATTGAACGCACACTCTTCGACGACGAGGCGGCGGTGAGTCGGCCGTGATAGTACTTTTCCTTTTTGCAACCGGCTTCAAGTATTAAAGATTGTGTCCCACGAAATGAACAGACTTCATCCAAAAATTAAAGTATTAAACTCCTGAACTGGTTTTGATAAAAAAAAGCCTTTAGAACTAATCTGTAAGTATATTTTTTCAGAGGCAAAAAGAATTTTCCAAAACCAGGTTTAGATATGACGAAGTTATAAGGTAGTAAAAATAAAAGAATACATCTGTATTTTTTTTTGTGTGTATTGCATCAAACCTCCGAATCAGCATATGCTGGTGAGGCATCAGTGAAATATGATAGGTGAGAACAAAAAGACAGGTCAGTTAGTTAATCCTGGTTTTGAGGACCTGGAATTGAGCATGGTGGTTTCCAGAAGCATCACGGGGAGATCGATCTGACCGTATGTATTGTTAGCAATGGGGGGGGGGGGGTACTAATCACCGCTGCTAACAATCTCTTTTCTAGCAGTAGCGGTTCGGCCAAAGGAGTATTATATTTCTTAGTCGAAACCTTTTTGCTTACACATTTTTAAATCTTTGGATTTTGGAGGGGTGTGCCATGTAGATTGTCTACATCCTGTACGCTGTAATTCAATTGCCATATTCCGCCCTTCACACTGACACACACTCATGCGATCACAGCTCCTTGGTGGCTGAAACACGAGTGGAACGGATGTATTAAGCAGACGACATAGTCTCGCTCCGGAATACGTCGTCCACTTGATCTTGGACTCTATGTCCATCATTATGCTTTCCGAAGACTGTTTAATACTGTACCAACACATCGAACGTCATAATTTGGGCTTACGTTTTCTGAAGACGTATTCTCGCTCTGGATTATGTCGTCTGTTTGATTTTGGACTTTATGCCCATCATTATAAATGGTCTTATAGTTTTCAATGACTGTTTAGTACTGTACCAACCCATCGATCGTGATAATTTGGGCTTACATTTCCTATTTCTCCATGCAGGAGGCGATATTCGACATGATAGAATATTATGAGAGTGCAATAGCTGTCTGCATCATCGGGGAGAGGCAGTACGGCATCAGGGGGTGGCAAGCGGCCTCCAGGATGATCAAGAAGGTAGGTGTCAAGAGTTGGAAACTTTCACCTGATCGAAAATGGTAACCATTATTTATAAGGCTTTAACAGAACCATGGAGATCGGAGAATACACTGTGAACCCCATAGTGTGTTCCAATTCCTGAGGGGTAAGATTTTTAAGAGATAATAATTGACTGGGGTAATTTTTGTGTTATTGGTATATGCTGGTGACGCACCAGTGAGGAATGATAGGTGAGGATGAAAGAAGATCAGGTGGCTAATCGTGATGAATTTACTAGGAATTTATCAGGATGGTTTCCTGGGAGAATCGAGTGGATGTTAGCCTGATGTTGCCATCAGTGGGGTCACTACACTCGTTATTGATAATGAAATAAATTTCAAAGCGTAAAAATAATTAGAATTTATATGGTTTATACTTTTACCCAAATCCTTTTCGAGCTTATATTGTACATGTGACTTTCGCTTTTCGTTATTTTTTTCTTTTACAATACGAATTTATATGTTTTGAAGGAGGGTTTTTTTTATATTATATTAAGGGCTTTTACCTTTTTCGGCTATATCAGTCCTATTGTGGAGGAGGGTTGGTGGCGGACAGAGCGGCCTATAATAAAAGTATGTAAATAAATCGCCCTGTATGTCCCAGCATAGAATCAGCCATATTTTTTTTATTCATGGGTGTCGTAAGAGGCGACTAAGGGAGCTTAATGATCGATGCGGGCAGCAATGTCCTTAAAACATTACTAAAGCCTAACTGCAGCTACCAATCCATCTGCCAACCGTGGCAACTACTGGCAAGGCTCCCCTTATGAAGAGGAAGGCCTGTGTTCGATGGTAGACAGTTGATTGTTGATAAAATATTATAATAATATCTAATATATAAAATTCTCGTGTCACGGTGTTTGTTACCAAAGTCCTCTGAAACGGCTTTACCGATTTTTATGAAATTTTGTGTGCATATCGGGTAGGTCTGAGAATCGGCCAACATCTATTTATCATACCCCTCAATGATAAGGGTGACCTACCCCTAAATATTTTTTGACATTTGTTTTATTTTTATTTTATTATGATTTAGCATTGAAAAATACATACAAATTCAAATTTCCACCCTTTTACGATCAAGCTCTGTTTTTTAATGGCTATTTTTATATTCCGCAATAGGCTTGCAAGATGGCAATCGAATATAATAATTGTAGTACGATAAATTTTCATGTATAATTCTCGAAATAACGTATATGGTAAAAAAAACGTTTGCCCAGTCAGCTAGTTTAGATTACATAAATAGAGTGTCTTCATACAAATGCTTCGAGAAAAACGGCTCAACTTTTTCATACAATTTTGCGTGACAAATATTTAAGAGTGATTCCTTTATAACTTCTATTATGTTTATTTTGTCTCATAATTCCTGCATTTTTTTAATGCGTAAACACGCATTTTATTTATTAAATAATTGAGGCCTATAAAATCAAAGGCAGATAAACGTCATAAAATCGATTTCATTCTCACTCTGTACTCAAATATTTCTCTTATTCAAAAGTTCTATTAATAAAAAATTCAAATTATTACTAATATTCTATTTTTTTTTTCAATCTGGTTTAAAATATAGAATTTAGTTCCATATCCTTGACCAAAATATTAGTTCTTGTAGTTTCCTGAACGTCTGACAGACTTGGATCTAGTTGCCTTTGATTTTATAGACCTCAATTGTACATCAAGATATATTGTATTCGTGAATACAATGAACAGTGTGTCAGCTAATTTGACAATTTGTTGACATGAATTGGATCATTGTGTGAGAGTGGGGACGTTGTGCCGGTATGTGTGTAACGGTGTAACACGGTATGCAACGTGCGTGCAGAGCGCGGAGGTGTCGGAGCTGGAGGTGTGGGAGGGCGCGCTGGAGGCGGCGCACGCGCCGGTGCTGGCGCGCGCGCTGCGCCCGCCCGCCTGCCGCCTGCGCGCGCTCAGCCTGCAGCGCGCGCACCTCGCCGGCGAGCCGCTGCTCTGCCTCGGTGACTAGCCGCACGCCGCACACCGCACACCGCACACCACCACGCACCACCACACACCACACGCAACACCCGACACGCAACACCCACCACCCGACACGCAACACCCGACACACAACACTCTATACACAACACCCAACACGCAACATCCAACACGCGACACCCGACACCCAACACGCAACACATAACACGCAACACGTAACACGCAACACGCAACACCCAACACGCAACACGCAATACTCAACACGCAACACCCAACACACAACCCCTAACACACAACACGTAATACGCAACACGCAACACTCAACAAGCAACACGCAACACGCAACATCCAACACGCAATACTCAACACGCAACACCCAACACACAACCCCCAACACGCAACACGTAACACGCAACACGCGACACTTAACACCCAACACGCAACACGCAACTTCCAACACGCAACACGCAATACGCAACACGCAACACGCAACACCCAACACACAACCCCCAAAACGCAACACGTAACACGCGCACGTAACACGCAACACGCAACACTTAACACCCAACACGCAACACACAACATCCTACACGCAACACGCAATACTCAACACGCAACACCCAACACAACCCCCAACACGCACCACGTAACACGCAACACGTAACACGCAACACGCTACACTTTACACCCAACACGCAACACGCAACATCCAACACGCAACACGCAATACTCAACACGCAACACGCAACACCCAACACACAACCCCCAACACGCAACACGTAACACGCAACACGCAACACTTAACACCCAACACGCAACACGCAACACTCAACACGCAATACGCAACACCCAACACGTAACACTCAACATCCAACATCCAATACCCAACACCCACTAACTGATTAACAACAACCTTAATACATCCTTTCTGAAAAACCCCACGCTGTAGTTTCTAGGGAGATCTTCGACAGGAAGATCATTCCACAACCTGAGTGTTCCCGGGAGGAAGCTCCTTAGATTTATGAGCGTACTTTTGCTTATATTAATTTTAAAAATAACTAAAAAATGTAATATTATAAAATATATTGTATTTTCCAGTGATTGCACTAAAGTCGAACAGTTCGGTGCGTGAGCTGCGGCTGGGCGACAACCGGCTGACCACGAGCGACGCGGCGCAGATAGCGTCGCTGCTCCGCATGAACACCAGGATACAGCTGTTGGACCTGTCCAACAACCAGATACAGGTACGGTTTTTTGATGGGTGCAAATGGTATGGTAACCCCGCCTGCGCTAACGGGATACGCTGGCGGAGCACCAGTGAAGGGTGATAGATGAGAATGAAAACAGGCCAGTTAGCCCGTCATGATGAATTCATCAGGAATTAACCATGATAGTTTCCGGGGGAAAAGCGAGGAGGGCGACTTGGTTGGGTATATTGCTAGCAATGGATTTCTTAGTCTCCATTACTAACAATCCCTTTCCCTCCTGGGAATGGCAGTTCTCATTATTAACAATTACCTCCCTTCCAGGGTTGTTTATATTTAGAAATAAGATCATAAAAAAATGTCAATATAAAAGTGCTTTACAAGTCTATTTGAATACAGGAGGTCTACCATGAAATCCGAATTTTCGGACTCGATTTCTCCTTTTTATTTATACCAAAATCGGCCTAGTGAATGGAGATTAATATTTCGTTCATCACAAGTTCAAAGGGATGATATTATAACATTTTTAATATTTTTAAACTGTATGTATTATGTAATTTTAACATCCAATTTGGGTTTCGTTCGGCTCCGAAATTTCGGAGATAATTTCATGGTAGGCCTTCTGATTATTTCTTTTCGATTCTATTGATGTCCACATTTCGCCGTTAAATTGAGAGGAATTTTAATAAAATACATGTTAAAGATATTTGACACGTTATTCTAGTTTTTAAGTTAATATTTATCTATTTATAGGATCATATAAGCGTATATTAGTCATTGCATTGTTACTTCAAAATGGGCACAGTTCAGTTGCTAGATCAGATATAGAGGTGTAACACTAAAGTACTAGAAAATTACAATGGAAACTGTGCGCTGTTGAAAGAGTGTCCCATACGTGCTGTGTGGGTCGCGTGTTGATGCGGTTGAGGTTGCAGTGGAGTGGTGTGCGTGTTGCATGTGGTGCGTGATGCGTGGTGCGTGGTGCGTGTGGTGCGCGTGCGCAGGACGCGGGCGTGGCGCACCTGGCGGAGGCGCTGGCCGAGCAGGCGGCGCAGACGCCGCCCTCCGCCGCCGCCTCGCCGCTCTCGCCGCACGCGCTGCACTGCCCGCGTCAGTACCGCCATAACGCATCACACACACGCACACACGCTCGCACGCACGCATACACACGCATCACACGCACGCACACGCGACAGGGAGACTTTGTACAAAAGTCATTTTAACTTGGCCACCTCTGTCCCATTCTTGTTTCTACCGTGAAGCAGTTGTGTTTGCATGGCTGTGTTTCGGTTTGAAGGGTGGGATATGGCGTGAATTTACTGGATATAGAGGAATAACATCTGAGTCCTCAGGAATGGCATTGCGTGGGGGGTATCATGGGCGAAACGGTATACTCTGTTATGTCCCTGCTCATGTCTATAGGCGACGGTTACCACTTTCCATCAGGTGGGCCGTCAGTTTATTTGCCATTCTAACTTGCATTCACGCACAAATGCATACACACAAACACACATATGTACTCATGTAAACACACACTCTAATAACACAAACTCACTATAGATACTTGTATATGTATATATGTATGTATGTTGCTATTAAAGCCTGTTAAATTCGTTTAGAAATTCGACTCTAAAAAAGGAGTTTTCCATTTAAATTATACTGTTTTGTTTGTTATTCTCCTATTTGAGTAATTTATAAACCGGTTTGGAACATTCTTTTTTCATCAAAAACAATATACTTTGATATTGGTCCCGCAGAAATTTTATCATATTCGGTACAGTAGTTCTATTTTAGAAAACGAAATACCTCAATTATTCACAATTAAAATCTATTGTTTTTTTTTTTTTTTAATTAAAAGTACCCGTAACAGCCGAGCGTGTATGAAAAGATTTGTGGAGGAAGCGAAAGAGGTTTGTTTGAATCGAAGCATTTGGCGTTCCATTGTTTCTGCCTACCCTAATGGGAGACAGGCGTGACAGATGTTTATGTATGTATGTATGTTTTTTTTTTGTAAGTTCCAATTTTAAATTAGTTAATTTTAAATTTCCGCGTTGTTTACACATATTTTAAATACACAATCGGTACTTGACGCGATGTAAAAGCTTTTATAGGTAAATAGTACCTACATACCTGCTTCTTTATTGACGACGTTTCGACGCGGATTACACCACGTCGTGGTCACGACAGGATTGAATCGAGCGGCGTCTTTAGCGCTTTTATATCGTCTTAAGTCCCGAGTGTGTGTTTAAAACAATTTTAACATATTGGTAATTTATGAAACACAAGCCTACTTCAGATACTACCTTATCCTTAAGCGAGCTGAAGTGGCAATGGGCTGGTCACATAGCTCGAAGAACCGACAACCGATGGGGAAGAAAGGTTCTTGAGTGGCGACCGCGTATGAGCAAACGCAGTATAGGACGACCCCCCACTAAATGGGTTTTTTTATTGGGTAGGTCAGTTAGCACACCGTGACGAATCTAACAATATATCAATCACGATGGTTTCCAGGTGGAACCACGAGGAGGTCGACCTGACAGGGTGTATTGCTAGCAATGGGGCTACTAATCCCCATTACTAACAATCCCTTCTCCCCGCTCCCCCACTAGATGGAGTGACGACCTGAAATGCGTTGCAGGGAGTCAGTGGATGCAGGTGGCTCGGGACCGTTCTTTATGGCAGTCTATGCGGGAGGCTTATGTCCAGCAGTGGACTGATAAAGGCTGAAATGATGATGAAGTCTACTTCAGAATTATACTGATGATTTTACTACTCCCACTGTCTAATATGTTTGTTAAACATTTCCAGTGATGGGCAGCTACGACACGCGAGGACTGGCCTTCCTAGTGCTGTGGAACAACCAGCTGACGAGGAACTGCGCCCACCATCTCAGCAGGGCGCTGGTGAGGCATAGGCTTATTTATTTATTCATTAGTACAAATATGTGTACTAGGCGGACTTAATGCTAAAAGCATTCTCTCCCAGTCAACCGTAGGCAAGTGTCAGAATACTCGAATGCGGTACTAGTAATTATTGATATACATACATACTAAAATTACATATATAAACGAATAAATATATATGAATAACAAATATACACTCCTCGCAAAAATTAAGGGAACATAAAAATTTTTGAAATTTTTGGGTGATTTTCAACAGGCTGTATTTCAGTGAAAAATAATCGTACAGGAAATTTATAAAAAGGGTTTTGAAGCTTGAAAACTCTAGTTTTCAGATATTTTGGTGAAAAAATTTTTTGAGCTCCGGTTTCCATGCAATTTTTAAACAAAGCTGAAAATAATTTTTTTCTAAATTTTCTAGGTTTCGTTTTTCACTCTATGGGAATGGAAAAATTTTTTCGAGCTACTCCATTGTATAGGTCTCTTAGCGTGTTTATTCAGCTTCAAAAATCGCTTTGGATGGCTCAATTACGATCATTTGTCTCCGAGATATCGAACTTTGAATGCAAAAGCATCCTTTTCCATTCAACTGCTAATATCTCTGGAACTACTGGTCGCACAGCAAGCGGGCGCCGAGTTTCTTTATCTGCATAAAATTTCCAATTAAGCACAGTCAAGAGTTAGTGAAGAAAAAATTTTTTTCCACCTCTAACATTGAATTGAAAAAAGTGGAAAAAAGTGACTTTTTCTCCTTTTTTGGTTACTTGGCTGTATCTTCGCTAATATGGGCGGGAAAGCTAAGGTTTGAGGAAAATTTTACAGTCTATTGTTCCTTAAAGAACCCCCTAAATCCCTGGAGCGATCGGTTCAACGGTTTTTCCCGGACCAATTGATTGAAATTTTGGAAAAAATAAGGGAACAAGGTTTTTGTTCCTTAAACACACCCTAATCCATTCAAAAATCAATAATTTAATTTGTTTTTCACTTTTTACTCAATTTTTTGTTTTTTAAAAATTTATTATCAAAAAAAAATCGAAAAAAATCAAGAAAATTTTTAAGAAAATTTTTTTTTTGAAAAGTCGAAAAAAGTTTACAAAAAATTTTTTTTTCGTTTTTAAGGAAATCAAAGTTTTTGACAAAAACTTTGATTGATGATCGATTTACCGCCGGCATTAGCGTTACCCAAAGCATACCACGTGGAGGTTGCACGGTCGGATTTACGTGCGTAAGCACAAAAGAAGCGTTAGGGTGAGTTTAAGGGACAAAAACCTTGTTCCCTTATTTTTTTCCAAAATTTCAATCAATTGGTCCGGGAAAAACCGTTGAACCGATCGCTCCAGGGATTTAGGGGGTTCTTTAAGGAACAATAGACTGTAAAATTTTCCTCAAACCTTAGCTTTCCCGCCCATATTAGCGAAGATACAGCCAAGTAACCAAAAAAGGAGAAAAAGTCACTTTTTTCCACTTTTTTCAATTCAATGTTAGAGGTGGAAAAAAATTTTTCTTCACTAACTCTTGACTGTGCTTAATTGGAAATTTTATGCAGATAAAGAAACTCGGCGCCCGCTTGCTGTGCGACCAGTAGTTCCAGAGATATTAGCAGTTGAATGGAAAAGGATGCTTTTGCATTCAAAGTTCGATATCTCGGAGACAAATGGTCGTAATTGAGCCATCTAAAGCGATTTTTGAAGCTGAATAAACACGCTAAGAGACCTATACGATGGAGTAGCTCGAAAAAATTTTTCCATGCCCATAGAGTGAAAAACGAAACCTAGAAAATTTAGAAAAAAATTATTTTCAGCTTTGTTTAAGAATTGCATGGAAACCGGAGCTCAAAAAATTTTTTCACCAAAATATCTGAAAACTAGAGTTTTCAAGCTTCAAAACCCTTTTTATAAATTTCCTGTACGATTATTTTTCACTGAAATACAGCCTGTTGAAAATCACCCAAAAATTTCAAAAATTTTTATGTTCCCTTAATTTTTGCGAGGAGTGTATTTACACATATATGACATATACTATATTATACACGAAGTTGAGAATAATATAAAGCACTTACTGCTCGGATAAAGATAAAAAGTGAGCGTTAACGCTTTTTTTGAAAGCTTCTATCTTGACCGATAATCAGAGGGCCTACCATGAAATGTTTTCCGAGATTTCGGGTCCGAACGTAACACAAATTTGATGTGAAAATTACATTATACATACTGTCATAAATATTAGAAATACTAGAATATCATTCCTTTGGACATTTATGGTAGGTTTTATGACGAACAAAGGGTTAAGCTCCATCTACTGAATCGATTTCGTTATGAACAAAAACACGAAATTAAGTCCGAAAATTCGGGATTTTATTCATAGTAGACCCTCAGTTATGTAATATTTATCGATATAAGATCGCTCTAAGCGATAAGGTCGCCCATTGTTTTCTCACTGTGATTATTTCTTGTAATTGTTTATATTTATAATAAGTTTACTATTGTAATCTTTTGGAGGAAACAATAAAGAGTATCTATCTATCTATTTATCTATCTAGTACTTACATTAAACGTTTTGCTTAGTGAATTATAATTTTGTTAGATTTTATCATAATGTATTTACATACTAGTAATCTGCTCCGGCTTCGCACGGGTTTTTTTTACAAAAAAATATAAAATTGCCTATGTTATTCCGTGGAAATGTTTTTAGTAAAATTAGTTGAGTAGTTTTTGAGTTAAATTGTAACAAATTAAAAATCAATATTTCCTCGTTGTACCTACATAATATTAATTTACATTTGGTACACTGCAAAAATTTTTGGATGATGCCCCCCCCCCCCCCCCCACTCTTTTGAAGGCAAACGAGACCACGCGGCGCCCGCGCAGTCCGGTCTAGTCACGGCGACACGTTTTCACTGAAATACAAATACAATTAACACTGTCTATAAATAACATTCTTTATATTTTATTTATTCTACTCAGCTTAGTTAGTAAAAGATATAAGTAAACATATTTTCCAGACGGTAAGTAGTTTTTATACTCCTTTTTTCCCTATAAGCGACATATCCCAATAAGAATTTTTTTTATATTGAAATTTGTTCAAATGAGTTGCTTATATATATATAGAGCGTTCACTGTATCTTGTCTCTTTCTTTCCAATTAAATTCCTAATTTGAAAGAAAGTGTCAGAACAGTGTAATAGTTAAAATAGACTTGTAGAAGCTTTTATTTTTTATGAATATACATGTATTGTCATAGTCGTAGAATATTGACGTAGAATATATATATATATATATATATATATATATATATATATATATATATATATATATATATATATATATATATATATATATATATACCGTCAGTATTCTACGACTATGACAATATTTGGTATGTGGTGTATGAATGAAGTAAAGGTAAGATGCGAACGTCCCCAGCGCGCGTCCCAGTCGCTGTGCGTGCTGAACATCGGGCGCAACGCGGTGGGCGGCGACACGGTGCGCGCGCTGGCGGCGGCGGCGGCGGCCGGCGTGCCCGGCGTGCCCGGCGCGCCGCTGGCCTCGCTCGGGCTGCAGGCCGCGCGCCTCGGGCCCGACGCCGCGCCCGCGCTCGCGCACCTGCTCGCCAGCCACTGCGGCCTCCAGGTCACTCTCACTGCTGACACTCTCACCGTCATATTGATGGCTGAAAATGGTATGGTAACGGTAACCCCGCCTGCGCTAACGGGATACGCTGGCGGAGCACCAGCGAAGGGTGATAGATGAGAATGAAAACAGGCCAGTTAGCACATCATGATGAATTCATTAGGAATTAATCATGATAGTATCCAGGGGGGACCGCGCGGAGGTCGACCTGGTTGAGTATATTGCTAGCAATAGGATTCTCAGTCTCCATTACTAACACTCCCTTTCCGCCGTCATCATCATATTAACTATATATTTGTTTATTTTATTTAAACTTTAATGCACAGTAAAATTCTATGTACATATGGCGGACTTAACACCGGACGGTATTCTCTACCAGTCGAGCATTGGGCGAACAGAGAAATACGTAGGCGGTGCATTATTAAATAGAGGAAATATAAAGTAATACTTGATATGTTTGTATAATATGCACATATAAATAGACTAATATAAATATACACCTAATATATTAAATAAATAAATATATACATATAATAAATACATACATAAATAAATATTACTACATGAAACATTTAAATAAAACAACTGTAATAGAAGGGCAAATAGCAATCTATGACTCAAACAGAGCAACCAGCGGGAGAAGCTGAAAGGGAAAGTGATTTTTCTAAGAAATAGCGCAATTTGTGTTTAAAATTTAGTGTATATATATATATATATATATATATATATATATAGCTATTCGGCAGTATACAGTTAACTCCCCCATAATTGTGGTTTTGCCAGTAGTTGCCACGCTTGACAAGCAGATTGGCAACAGTTAAGCATTGGTGATATTTTAAGAGGGACGCTGCTGCCCATCCCTAGTCCTCCCTTAGTCGCCTCTTACGACACCGACAGGAAAGGAAGCGGTGGCCTGTTCTATGCCGGGACCACACGGAGATTTTTTAATAGATGCTAGTGAAATCGTAAACTGGCTGGGAGCCAGTGATAGATGATAGGTGAAGATGAAACGGGTTACGGGAGCCAGTTAGCCCATCGTGATGAACTCGATAGATCGAATTAACTATGATTCTATAACTATTGTATTATTATAATGTTTGATTTTTTTTTTCATTGGTAAAAACTGTTAAACTCTTTAAAAATATGTATGTAAATAACTAAATAAATTATGGTTGCCAGGGGAGACCCCGTGGAGGTCGACCTGAGAGGGAATATTGCTAGCAATGGCGCTGTTTAGACCCCATTACTAACAATCCCTTCCCCCTCCCATATATAATACGTAAGTTTTTTTTTTAGTGGATTTAAATGAAATGGTAACCCCGCCTGCGCTAACGGGATACACTGGCGGAGCACCAGTGAAGGGTGATAGATGAGAATGAAAACAGGCCAGTTAGCCCATCGTGATGAATTCATCAGGAATTAACCATGATAGTTTCCAGGAAGAACCGCGAGGAGGTCAACCTGATTGGGTATATTGCTAGCAATGGGATTTTTAGTCTCCATTACTAACAATCCCTTTCCCCCCATAATACGTAAGTTAAACCGGTGTAGTTATTAAATTTATAAGAATCATATTGCTGTTCCCAGCGTCTGGATCTACGCGACAACCGGCTGGGCGTGGCCGGGCTGCAAACGCTGCTAACCGCCATGAAGGATAACCACACGCTCACGCAGATCGACCTAGACGATCCGCCGGTACGTTGTGCCCGCTATTTTTTTACCTGATACTTGGTACACGTGGATTACAGAAGTAGGATAATCGATTAAATGGATCATTTCTAGAGGGCGTATCGAGATAGAACTTGTACTAAGTTTTAAGTTTTTTTTTTTGATGGGTGAAAATGGTATGGTAACCCCGCCTGCGCTAACGGGATACGCTGGCGGAGCACCAGTGAAGGGTGATAGATGAGAATGAAAACAGGCCAGTTAGCACATCATGATGAATTCATCAGGAATTAACCATGATAGTTTCCAGGGAGAACCGCGTGGAGGTCGACCTGGTTGGGTATATTGCTGGCAAAGGGAATCTCAGTCTCCATTACTAACAATCTTTGAGAGCGTTGTCTCAAAATGGTCGTAAGATTGCGACTTTTTTTTTAATGGATGAAAATGGCATGGTAACCCCCCGCCTGCGTTATCGGTATACACTGGCGGAGCGCCAGTGAGAGGTGATAGGTGAGGACGAAAAGGCAGGTCAGTTAGCACATCGTGACGAATCCAACGATAAATTTGTCACAATAGTTTCCAGGGGGAACCGCGTGGAGGTCGACCTGATAGGGTATATTGATAGCAATGGGGGACTAATCTCCCCATTACTAACAATCCCCTCCCCCTAAGATTACGACTTGCTAACATTTGTTTGCTACTGAGAGCCGGCAGTGATTTCAAATCTGTCTCTATGTACAGGAGCCGCCGCCCAATCCACGGGCGGAGGCGGAAGCGGGAGCGGAAACGGGCGCGGAGGCGGAGGCGAACGCGTTGGCGCTGGTTACGCAAGCGATACGCGCCGCGTGCCGCCGCAACGAGACGGGGGGGTCGCCCGAGCGACGCGTGCATCGCAAGATCAGTCTCACGTGCCACACCGCGCACGCCTGCCTCGCCAGAGTATGATTTATACCATGCCATTATATTACTAGACGGAGACTACATACCAGAGGAAGATCTTGTACAAAAGTCGATTGCTTGGGCACCTCTGTACCATTCGTGTTTCAACCATGAATCAGTTGTGTTTGCATGGCTGTGTTTCGGTTTGAAGGGTGGGGTAATGGCGTGAATTTACTGGGTACAGAGGAATAACACCTGAGTCCTCAGGAATGGCAACGCATGGGGGGTATCATGGGCGAAACAGTATACTCCATATGTCCATGGTACTGCTCATGTCTATAGGCGACAGTTACCACTTTCCATCAGTTGGGCCGTCAGCTTGTTTGCCATTCTAAGTTGTATAAAAAATAATAATTAAAGACTATAACTGCACCGACTGGAGTATTTATTAATGTTGTATCAAGCAGTTGGGTAATACTTGAATGTCCCCTAATCCTGGGATGGGCACCAGACTATTCTGGGGCTGGCGTACTCTTGTGATGTTCATGCTACTATTCACGTCTATTAGCGATAGCTATCTCTTCCTCTTTCTCGTTATCAGGTGGCCTGTCAACTCGTTTGTTATTCTATGTTGGAAAAAATTGCATTTCATTGCAGAGTACAACGATGGGTGCTACCGGCGTGGTGAACACGGGGTCGGGGACGCTGGGCCCCGCCGCGGCCGCGGACGAGGAGCGGCGGCCGCGCCTGCGCTCGCCGCTGCCGTCGCCCGCGCCCTCCCCTGCGGGAAGTCCCGTGCCCGCTGCACACCACTCGTCCAGGTTCTCGGTGAGTATCACCAGCAGCTCTTGCTACACACTCAGGTTGGTTTAGCTGCATATAATGGAATGGGGGTAACCCCGCCAGCGCTATCGGTATACACCGGCAAGGCACTAGTCAATGATGATAGCTGAGAAGGATGTTAGAAGTGAAATTAGAACATATCTAGATTTATTTCAAATAGTTTGTTTCTCTGTCTGTTTGTACGGGCTAATCTCCGAAACTGTGGGACCGATTTAAATGAAATTTTGAATGGTGGTACCTTACATGCCCAGTCAAAATTTTCGATACTTTTAATCACGTAAAATTAAACAGTTCCCGTGGGATAGTTGAACAACTATAGTAACTTGTACACAACTTAGTACACAATCTACTTAAGTAAAGAGCATTTCAAGCTAAGGCAAAGAGTGAGAACGACACATCATTTGTTAATTTTGGTCCAGTATTTCCAGACATAATAAATAGGTAGATACCACGCGGAAAACCGCGAGTATTAGCTAGTGTTAGATATTATCTACAAAATGTAAGTTTGCTTTCTTTGTATAAATATGTATGTATTTTTAAAAAAAAAAACAAGGTATTTTTAAGTATGCCTGTCAGTTTCCTAGCACCCATACTATGAACTCTGTTCAGTATGTGGCTAGATGGCGCTGTTTGACGTTACTTGCTTGTTTGCTACATAACTTGTAACCGGCGCGCCCTCTGTCGCCAGGTGAGCCGAGTGTCGGGCGAGAGGGACTCCTCCGACAGCTCGAGCCCGTCGACGCCCACCCGCCCCACGTACTGCCCCACGCCGTCCCGCTTCCGGGTCGTGCAGGTACGTGAAACTGATTCTGTGCATGACGCTGTTAAGTAATGTGTTTTTTTTTAATGGATAATGATTTTTTTTATACAGCATAGAATGGCAAACAAGCTGACGGTCCACCTGATGGAAAGTGGTAACCGTCGCCTATACACATGAGCAGTACCATGGACATAACAGAGTATACTGTTTTGCCCATGATACCCCCCGTGCGTTGTCATTCCTGAGGATTCAGGTGTTATTCCTCTGTACCCTGTAAATTTACCGCCATATCCCCCACCCTTGAAATCGAAACACAACTGCTTCACGGTAGAAACACGAATAGGACAGAGGTGTCCAAGCAAACGAGTTTTATACAAAGTCTCCCTCTGGTAACTGATGGGATGGTAACCCCGAGTACGCTATCAGTATGCGCTAGCGTGCACCAGTGAAGGATGCAAGATGAGGATGATTGTAGGTCAGTCGGCCCATAGTGACTAATTGAACAAGAATTACTATGGTTTGTAGCGGGAACCGCGTGGTGATCAACCTGATCTGAGGGTGTATTGCTAGCAATGGGACTGTTAAATCTCATTACTAACATTCCCTTTTCCCCAAATAATTGTGTTAAGTTGATATAGTTAAGTCCGTCATTTACACTAGGTGTATTTACTTGCTTTACTGCATCTCTGTCCCATATATGTTTCTACCATGAATAAGTTGTATTTACATGGCTGTGTTTCGGTTTGAAGGGTGGGATATGGCGTGAATTTACAGGGTACAGAGTAATAATATCTGAGTCTTCAGGAATGGCAACGCTGGGGGGTATCATGGGCGAAACAGTATACTCTGTTATGTCCATGGTACTGCTCATGTCTATAGGCAACGATTATCACTTTCCATCAGGTGGACCGTCAGCTTGTTTGCCATTCTAAGTTTTTTAAAATAAAAAATTGTTTTATTAAATAATATTTCAAATAGAGGTATTGATATTCTTATTTTTTGTTATTGTAAAAATTAATCCAATGTTGTTTGTTGTACCATGTTGAATTGGGTCAGTCTGTAAGGACATGAAAACAAGGAAATAAATATATAACTTCAGGCAACGGTTATAATTTTCTGCCAGTTTGTTTCCTATTCTAAGTATCATAAAAAATAAATTTATTTAAAAATATCCACAGGTTGCCGAACCACCTCAAATCCAAGTGCACCCAGCCACCACCAGTCAACCACGGCGGAGTGCGTCCCGGTTCTCTGTTACCAGAAACTACGACTCCGTCTACAACCCAACGCAGGTCCCCTCCCCGCCACCCAGTGCTGACGCGACAACCGCTCGCCCCGAGAAGGCAACCCAACCCGAGATTAGCAGTAATCAAATTACTCCATCTACAACCACAATGTCTGAGTCAACATCGAAAACGAAACGTAATACAGTCGAGACTGAATCTATAAAAACAAACCAGCCAGAGGTTTCAATAAGTCCAAGTGATTCAACGACAAATAGGCCTGAACCGAAACGTAGACCTCCCCCCACGCCTATACCGCAACACTCATCTAAATTTGATCTAACAAATACTTCGGACTTATCATCACCTGAGTCTGGTACTCAGTCAGAATCTGAAACACAATCAGAGTCTGAGTTAAGGCTAGACGATACAACGAATAGACCTAAGTCCGAAACCATAAGGTCTGATATTAATGAGTGTAACTCAAATGTTCCTAGTTTAATACAAGAAACTAAACCCAGTGATGATATACTCAATATAGAAACAGTAAATAAGTCTAGCCCAGTGATAATAACAGATGATCAAATTGCGTCATCTCTAGACGTGGATAAGAAAACTGATACCGATTCTGAGGCTCAAGCGACATCAGATTCAGGGATATCTTCGGATAATGTCGATGCTGGATCTGAACTTATAGAATCAAAAATGCCAGATAAACAAAAGCCGATCGAATCACAAAAACACGACAGTGATATAAAAGTTGAACAAACCGTAGGGCTCGATGCCAAAAATATTGCAGATAGTGTTAGTGAAAATATTAAAAGTGACACTAATAGTGATAAAGTGAAAGCTAAAACTTATAGTGACATAGTGAAATCAGACAAAAAGACGTTTAAGGACAAAACTGAACAGTTAGCTCATAATGAGGAAGTTAGTGTTATAGATAATGCTGAAATACTTAAAACAGAGACTAAGCTAGTTAAAAATTCTTTAGAAATTAATGAAAACGATAAAGTAGACGTTCAAGTCGAGGTTACAGTTAAAACTGAGACACCTGCCAAAGTGAATAGTGACCAAAATGATAAAGAATTTAGTAATAAAGATGATGCCAGTGTAAATAAAGAGAAACGCGACGAAGCCGCAATGAAACAGATAGAAGCAATCACAGAGGATCTAGGCAACTTAATACAAGAAATGAAAGATTTCTCCACGAAAACAACAGTCCACAGGAAGGACATGAAGAGTGATTGCACCCAGACAGACGTGGTTGATGTAAATAAGTTAAATTTTGAAAATGTACCTGCTAATGTTATACGCGATAATGTAGTTCTTAAGAAGAATAAGAGTGAGTCCAGTTTAGATAGTCCAGATTTGGAGGTTTCTAGGCTTATGAATAAGAAATTGGTTGGTAGTCCGTTCTGTGACAGTAGTTCATCTTTGGAGATATCTGGGAGCTCAGTGGAAAGCTTGAACACCATGGACGCTCAGCAGAATGTGCAGGTAGCTAAACCTATTATAATACAGGAGTCTGTGGAGAGCTACACAGAATTGGATAGGAGAAAACCTGGCAATGTTATGCTGTCAACTGAGAGTAGTATAGAATCGAATACTAGTGAAGCAACACCAGTGAACAGTGGAAACTTCTTAAATATGTCGGTTAGTTCAAACGAGAGTGTATCACCCATTATATTTGGGAAGAGTAGGAAAATACATGACTCATTGTCTAGTTTGGAAGCCAGTGTTAGTAGTTTAGATTCTGGTAAACAGGAAAGAGTAATGGTTACATCTGCAGATTCGGGTATAGAATACTCTCTGCAAAATCCATCTGAAAACAAAGAAGACAATTCTTCTAATGAAGGCACCCTAACAAACACTTCTAGTTTAAAGGAATCTGCCAGGAAAACTGATACTGTTCTACACGATACATTGACTTCTCCTAAAAGAACTTCCAGTCTGTTAGATGTTCCTGCTTTAAAGAGTAAGGGTTTGGATCGAGTAAAGAAAATGTCATGGGTTGCTCCATCTCCGAGCTTCTACATCCCACGGCCGGAGCCAGAAAAAGAGACCAAGTTACCATCTAATCTTGAAAAATTGCTGAGTTTATTCCAACATCCGAGTATCTTGTTTTCCCGAAGTTCTTCAAATGATGAAGAAAAGAAGTCTGCTTCAAGCACACCTCCAAGGAAGGATTCTTCTTTAACCAGCTCTTTTTGGTCTTGGGGAAGTACAACTGATAAAGTAGAGAAGGAGGACAAAGAGGACTCATCAGAGGCTACTGACTCTACTCTATCGGAGCGTATTCAAGTTTCCTTTGTTGATGAGTCGTTCTCGAAGAAATTAGATAGTAAAACACCGTCGACAGATACAGATAACACTTTAAGTGAATTCCAGACCTTCCAGCCTGAAAGTGAAACATCAGAAGATAAGGATGGGCTTACAGACATAACCACCGATTTAGTACAAAAATATTTAGATGTAAGTAAAACGGACGCGAGCTCGAACGGCAATAAGCCGCGAGCTAGTGATAACGCAGATCTCAATAAACCCAACGATTTAAATAAAAATGTTGTAAACACAGCCGCAGGCGATACCAACAAGAATAAAGAAACAGATGAGAAAGTGGAAAAGATCGAGGCGAAAGAGGAAGCGGTCAGACCTAGGTCGTTTGCTGCGGTCCTAAAGTCTTCAGGATCCGAGAACTCATTAGATAAACAGAGTAGTCCCGACAGCGGCCAGCCTGTTGATAAATTACCGAATAAAGTGATAAGAGGTATCAAAGAGAACATAAGTCCTGAAAACACATTGACTTCTAGTATGAGTAATACTAAGGCATTGGCTATAGAGTTGTCTGAGAAACAAGTGAAGCACCAGCCTATAGTGAATACCGTTTGGGACGTCACAACGACATTGCTCGATAGAGGCGAGTGCAAAATGGACGAAATTAAAACACAAACCGACTTGGCGCCGATAGCGACTATAGAAGAAACGTGTGACGCTGATAATATAGTTCTTGATTATATAGATGACGCGAAATTTGACGATCCGAATACTTCTGCTGACAGCGGGGTGACATCCCTCGAAGGCGCTGCAGAGGATAGTAAGAAATTTGAAGATAAAGTGATACAGTTGACAAGTGACTTGGAGAATGTCGATCTAGGCAAAGATGCGTTGTCATATCTGATATATGAAAATCAGGACTTTGAACCTGATGTGGAACAAGCTGTGCAGACTAAGGAACAGCAGGGTTCTCTAGCCCAGGAGTTGAAGGAAGCTGAGATAAAGGAGATGTTGGATTTATCACCCGAATTGGTCATCGACGATGCAGTGGAGGTTCCCGAAGTCTTTACAGCGAAAGACATAAAAGGCTTGCACACATCCCCCGTGATACCTGAACGGGCGAAGTTGAAGAAATCGAATTCTCTAGAAGATCTATCGATAGAAGAGAAGGAGAGCCCTAAAACGAAAACTATAGTGTTCAAAGTGCCTGAAATTTCGACGACGCCCCGGGATATACCCGAAAGGAGGTCTAGGCTGCGTACCAGAAGTGGTTCCAGTCCTAAATCGTTGCCAGAAAGTTTGAACAAGCCATCGCCGTTGACGAAAATGGACGGTATACTGTCCAAGAAGAAGAAAAAGGTGTCATCGCTGGGGAAGATCGCGCGGGACTCCTTACTTGCGCTGAACATGAGCGAAGAAGAGATCGCGGAGTTCAGGAAGTCGTACAAGCTGACCTCAGTGGAAAGTCTCAAATCCTTGGAGTCCGTTTCCGAGGACGCGAATTCTCAGAGCGGTAACTCCGTGGACTCAAGGTGTCGCGCCTGCCTGCGAACCTCTCAAGAGAGTCTCATGTCCTTGGACTCGATAACGGAAGATTGCAAATGTACGGATGACGAGAAAAGTCAACATTCGAATAGATAAATCGCCTGCGTTTACATCGTCGCCAGTCTGTGATAGCGTTACAGATCCACGGGTATTTAAACAAGTCGTTCTATCGTTGGTGCAGTGTTAGGAAATTGTGTGGACCCATATAAAAAATATGAGTATATTTTCTTCTTTTTTTTTTTGGATGTAATAATTAAACGAAATTGTCTATGGAAAAATTATTTGGCTATGAATAAATAAAAGTGCTTCTGAAATATTGTTACAAGTATTGCTGTAACTTTTTTTGTATAAAATAAAAAAATCTAATTGTGTATAAATGTGTACAGTCATCAACATTTTTGTATAAACGTCTCGCTAAAGGCACCCGTACACGCGCGATACTCGATCGCTACTTACTAATGTAACATAAAGTGAATTATGTACGACTTATTTAGATGAAATAGCTAAGAAGAAACAAGTGTTTATAATATATAAATTTATCAACATATCAAATTGATATGTTGACGTTTTTTCCTTCTATAATATATCGTAATTGTAAAATAAATGGTAGAAATATTATTGGTATATTATTATTAACTCCTTCATAACCTATTTCAATAGAGTTTCATGAAAATATATAAAAAAAAAATAGCCATTTGTACTAATTTTATTGTGCAATCTTATAATAAATCTGTAGAGAGGTCAATTCTGTACATGAAATATATTTGCAAAATAACTATCAGCGGGTGATTAGTGATCGATACTGATGCCAAAAATGCAATCAGTAAAATTTTTGTCTGTCTGTCTGTTTGTCTGTATGTTCGTTATAGAAACAAAAACTACTGGACGGAGACGAAAAAAAAGACAGCTTACTGATCGCCAATAGGAGTACAAATCTATAAATCATCATCCTGACAGACAATAACTGTCTACTGGTAAACATAGACCTCCCCTTGGGGGGTTTGCTAGATTTTTTTTATACAACTTAGAATGGCAAACAAGCTGACGGTCCACCTGATAGAAAGTGGTAACCGTCGCCTATAGACATGAGCAGTACCATAGACAACAGAGTATACTGTTTCGCCCATGATACCCCCCATGCGTTGCCATTCCTGAGGACTCAGATGTTATTCCTCTGTAAATACATGCCATATCCCACCCTTCAAACTGAAACACAGCCATGTCATGCTCGGCAGGCGGATTGACAACTGCAGTTAGGCTTTGATGTTTTAAACAAGCTGCTGTCCACCCTCGATCATTAAGTTCCCTTAGTCGCCTCTTACGACATCCACGGAAAAGGAAAAGATGGCCCTCTATGCCGGGACCACATGGCAAATTATATAATACATGCATATATAGATATAGAGAGAAGTTGTGCGAAGCCGGGACGGATCGTTAGTAGCGTACGAAGGTTGTTTTTTTTAATGGGTGAAAATGAAATAGTAACCCCGCCCGCGCTATCGGTGTACACCGACGAGGCACCAATGGAAGATGATAGGTGAGAATGAATGCAGGTCATTTGGCCCACCGTGATGAATTCGACCAGAATTAAACATGATGGTTTCCAGGGGGAACCGCGTGGAGGTCGATCTGAGAGGGTATATTGCCAGTAATGGTGCTATTAGACCCGATTACTAACAATCCCTTTCCCCCACGTACCTTGGTAGTGTGAATTAAATTCGTATACATTATTTTCCGCCTATTTAACACTAAAATTTAACTATTATATTAGTTTAATTTGTATTTTACAATAAAAAATTATAGTTTCGCGATATGGAGGAGCGATAGCGACGGGTGCCATAATGAAATTAATCGTATTATGTACTCTATTAATAGGTAAGTTGATGAGACAAGATGGTGATCCATAAATAAAACCATGTACTTAGTAAAACGTACGTACTGTTTAAAATGAAATTTACATATTATATATTGACAACTGCAGTTTTTTATAAAAAAGAATATATATATATATATTTATTTTTCATCGTGTAATCTCAAAACTAGAAACTGAGCTTTAAAATCCTTGTTTTTAAATTCCAGTACGACCATTTTTAAGGGAAATACAGCTACTTGAAAAACTCCCAAAAATTTGGCATAATTTTTTGATCCCTTGATTTTTTCCTCTAATGTAGTACCGTAATAATATCGGGAGGAATATATAAATATATATCCCCCCCCCTCATATTCTCTTACAGTTACTTTACTACTATTTTTTGTCATTACATTGAAGGAATACTCTCACCATCACGCCAACATCAGGATTTCCATGAGAAACGCTACAATGAATACGAGAACGCCAAAATGGCGCCGTCTCGGTTACTCGAGCTGATGACCAGTTATTACGAAGAAGGCTCCCAGAGGATCCGAGACATGAACCATATGAGGTTCATGTACGAGGAGTCACCACATTACGAGATGGGATACGTTATGGGTGAGATTGTTGAAAGGTTAGTCGACTGAAGATTGTATTGTATTTTTTTTAATGAATGATAATGGAATGGAGTGCTAGCGAAGGATGGAGAAAATTAGCTGGAGGGATCGAATTAGCAATGAGGAGGCCCTGCTTAGGGTTAAGGGAAAAAGACAAATTATTAGAACTATTGAGTACAGAAGGGGAAAAATATTAGGACACTTGATACGACACGACGAACTTATGAACATTATAATAGAAGGTAAGATTGAAAGAAGAAGGGGGAGAGGGAGACCGAGACATAGGTACATCAGGCAGATCAAGGAAGGAGTTGGTGTCGTGTCGTATCAAGAGGTGAAGAGACTCGCTGAAAATCGTAGTGAGTGGTAAGAGCTCCACCGATAAGAGCGCAGCTCTTAAATGGATAAATAGAATGGAATGGTAACAGGCAGGGCACCAGTGAGAAATGACCAGTGAGGTGAGGTTGAAAACCAGAGAGACTTTGTACAAAAGTCGTTTGCTTGAGTACCTCTGTCCCATCCGTGTTTCAACCGTAAAGCATTTGTGTTTACAGGGCGTTGTTTCGGTTTGAAGGATGGGATATGGCGTGAATTTACAGGGTACAGAGGAATAACACCTGAGTCCTTAGGAATGGTAACGCATGGGGGGTATCATAGGCGAAACAGCATACTCTGTTATGTCCATGGTACTGCTCATGTCTATAGACGACGGTTACCACTTTCCAACAGATGGTGTTGTTTACCATTCTAAGTTGCATAAAAAAGAAGCAGGACAGTTAGCTCATTGTGATGAATATACCTGGAATTCAGCACGACGGTTTCCAGGGAGGAACACTTAGATGCCGACCTGATCTTAGGTGTATTGCTAGCAATGGGACTTGAAGTCCGTATTTTTGACAATACCTCCCCCCCCCCCCCCACCAGTGAGGTATGATAGGTGAGGATGAAAAGACTGGACAGTCAGTCCAACGTGATGAATGCATCTGGAATTCAGCACGATGGTTTCCAGGAAGGAACACTTAGATGCCGACCTGATGCTAGGTGTATTGTTAGCAATGGGACTGGTAGCCCGCATTACTAACAATCCCTTCCTCCCCGACTGCATTGTACTTGCAGCAGCATCGACAGATGACTTCTGTGCTATCAGACGCAAACGGATTGCGCCTCTGTTACACCGACTGCATGCCAGCAGTAACGGCGTTCTGAGGGCATTATGTAATAAGTACGGTAGCCCGATCTTCCATTGTAGGTCAAAATTATCAACATTACTATATTAGCCTTTAACTGTCTCATATAGGGGGGAAAGGGATTGTTAGTAATGGAGACTGAGAATCCTATTGCTAGCCATATACCCAATCAGGTCCACCTCGTCGCGGTTTCCCCTGGAAACTATCATGGTTAATTCCTGATGAATTCATCATGATGGGCTAACTGGCCTGTTTTCATTCTCATCTATCACCCTTCACTGGTGCTCCGCCAGCGTATCCCGTTAGCGCAGGCGGGGTTACCATACCATTTTCATCCATAAAAAAAACTGTCTCATATAAATGAATAATTTTAGGTACAGAAAAATGGTTGAGCTGGCCAAAAAACCCATGGAGTTTAAATCACATGGCGTGTTTGAATCCATAAAGAGTACAGAACTGGTTGAGAAATTGTATTTCGAAACGTATCACCTTGTGGAGATGATACACGAGATACCCAGGAAGTATCAGCGAAAGCCAGAGTTCGCTAAACTAGTACCGGAGAAAGGGTTCGATTTGAAGCAAATACATAAAGCGCAAGAACGGATCAGAATGTTGGAGAAGCAGCGGGCAAGACAGACGGAAGAGAGCTAAATTCCTCAAGAGAATGCGCGATGATATGCATAAGATGAAGGTGAAGCCAGGCCAACACGATCAGCTGTATAATGAGTATTACAATCGTCACAAAAAACCTTATAATAAATGGTGGCCGTTGGACTACGGCTGGGAAATTGAAAGTGAGTGGTAGATTATGAATACAACTTGATGTTCACGTAATGTTTTTTTTATTTCTAAATTAGAATGACAAACAAGCTGTCGGCTCACCTTTTTTTTACAACACAGGTGGCAAACGAGCACACGGGTCACTTGATGGTAAGTGACTACATGCCCGCCCATGATCACCCACAACACGAGCGGCATTGCAGGTGTGATGTCGGCCTTTTAAAAAGGAATATGCTCTTTTCTTGAAGGTTATGTTGTCGTATCGGTTCGGAAATATTGTTGCTGGAAGTTGATACCAAAGAATGGTTGTGCGTGGAAGAAAGTGCCTTGAAAAACGCACGGTGGAAGACCGCCACTCGTCCAGATGATTGGGATGAAACTTTAGTTTGTGGCGGGTTGTACGGTAAATGATATCTGATGGAAAGTGGTAACCGTCGCCTATAGACATGAGCAGTACCATGGACATAACAGAGTATACTGTTTCGTCCATGATACCCCCCATGCGTTGCCATTCCTGAGGACGCAGGTGATATTCCTCTGTACCCAGTAAATTCACGCCATATCCCACCCTTCAAACCGAAACACAGCCATGCAAACACAACTGCTTCACGGTTGAAACACGAATGGAACAGAGGTACCCAAGCAATCGACTTTTGTACAAAGTCTCATTCTGGTTTGAGGGCAGAGGTATGGGTGGACTGTCCTTAGTTGCGTACCTGATTATGCGCGAACAGTATGATGGGGATGTTCGTTGTCACTGGCGAGATGTGACGTGAGATGAAGATTCCTCTATACAGGGGAGAGGTATTCGACAAAGTTATTAAATCATCGGGGTTCAAGAGCACGCACCTCCGTCGACGACGTCGGGGAGTAATTTGAAACTCTCATATATAATTTTTTCTTAAATATCTCCTACGTACAGTCATTGCCAATTTATAATATTATTACATTAATAACAAGTTTTTTTTTATACCACTGAGGTAGCAAACAAGCATACGGCCCACCTGATGGTACGTGGTTAACGTAGCCTATGAACACCTGCAATACCAGAGGTATTACGCGCGCGTTGCCGACCCTGAAGAAACCTCTTTACCTCCCTTTTGAAGAACCCCATGCTGTAGGGTCTTGGAAAAATCTCGGCGGGGAGCTCATTCCACAACCTGAGTGTTCGTTTTTTTTACAACACAGGGGGCAAACGAGCACGCGGCTCACCTGATGGTAAGTGACTACCGCCGCCCATGATCACCCACAATACCAGCGGCATTGCAGGTGTGTTGCCGGCCTTTTAAAAAGGAACATACTCTTTTCTTGAAGGTTATGTGGGAGGAAACATCTCTGAAACCGCGCAGTACGCGACCATTGAGGCTGTAGGACATGAGGATGAACTCCCTGTCGATGGCGAGCCGTACGATGGTAGAAAGTGGCTGTGGGTCAAGTATCAAGTAACAATTATAATAAAATACGATTTATCATATAAATATTATTATGAAATCATTGCATTTAACTCTCAGAGACCAAGATCGTCATACAGGCCCATAGTCCAACTCGACTCCACCGGCCATTGGTGAAGAAATCTTTTCTTTGTGGTACTATTCGCAGGCAAACCCATTTTCCTCAGCAAGAATTGCTTGCGATAGTTTCTCTTCAGCTGTTGCTCATTTTCTGATGTATCACCTGGGGATGGTAATATTTTTATACGTCTACGCAAATCTTACAAAGTGAACAGATAGACAGAAAGAAAGAAAGAAAGAAAGAAAAATATTTTATTCAGTGCAATGTAAAAAATACAATATAAACAACAAACGAGAAAAAAAATGAGCAAATAAAATGTACATATAATTAAACTTAATTTACCATAATTAAAAATTAACATAAAATAATCATTTTTACATCCAAAAATGCACTGAAATGGCTCCACTCAGCTTTAATGTATGTCCTAGGTGAACATACAGCTGGTTTTCAGTGGCACCAAAAATATATATATAAAAAGGGGGGGAGAGAGAGGGCACTATTTATAATATTCATGATAATAATTAAAACAAAATTACAACTAATAAATACAAACCAATCACATATACTAGAAAGAACAAAATAGAATAAAATAACATTAATAAATATAAACATTAAACATATATATACAACTACTTTGCCGTAAGATTTATAGGTTAAATAGTACATAGATAATTCTTGTATAGTTTTTTAAAGGTGAATAATGATTTGGCGTTCCTAACTGGCGGTGGAAGATTGTTCCAGCATTTCGTAGCAGCGTACTGGAAGCTACCACGAAAAACAGCTGTTCTGTATCGTGGACAAAGTAAAAGAGAATTTATTCTTATGTTACGCTTTGAAAAATTTAATTTATCATACAGATATGAGGGCTTTTTACTGTGTATTACGCCAAAAAGCAATGAAGCAAAATGTAAATTTCGACGTGCTGTCATATTTAACAAGTTATTCTGTTCCAAAAAGGGAGTGATATGAGCACGACGAGCAATAGGAAAGCAAAATCGAGCACATGCGTTTTGGATACGTTGTATCATTTTCTTAGTTCGAGCTAAAAGGCACTCCCCAAACACATTATCAGCGTAATTAAACTTAGACAACACTAACGCTTCGCACAGTTTGATTCGAATATCAACAGATAAGAATTCGCGCAGCCTGTACAGTACTTTTAGTCTGTAAAAACAATTACGCATGATATCCAAAATATGTTTTTCGAATTGTAATCTCTCGTCCATAACAAGACCTAAATTTCGTGCATATGTCACTTGTTCTATATGATTTCCAGACAAAACGATTTGTACAGATAGGTATATAATTTATTTACATTACATACAGCGCACAAATAACGACAGATATTGGTATATACTAGAAAAAAGAAAAGAATACATGTAGGTCGAAGGAGCCAGAAATAAAATTCCTTCTATACACAAGCGATTTAACCTTTATATAACTTCAAAACTAATTCTTAGAAATAATTCGTAGGAGCACACACACACACGCACTCGTTCATTTGTCGTCCATCTTAATCTTTCTCTCTCACTCGTTCCTCTCTTCACTCCACATCAGTCATCATTCCTCGTATTCCAATCTATGCATACAACATTCATTTTTAACATACGTTCCGTTTCATACCAATCCCACATACATATGTATATACAAAAAAAAATTAAGAATTATTTTACCTCTTTTATGTGTACGGCCAAAAGCCATTCGCGAGTTTCCTTGACAAAAAATAAATATAAATAAATAAATAAAATTAATTGTATTTAATCTAAATTTATAATTTAATAAATAAGAAATACCGTTAAAAAGAAGATAGTTAGTCACTCTCGATCACATTCAGGCATTCAAGTGACCAGAGGGAGACTTTGTACAAAAGTCGATTGCTTGTGTACCTCTGTCCCATTCGTGTTTCAACCGTGAACCAGTTGTGTTTGCATGGCTGTGTTTCGGTTTGAAGGGAGCTATATGGCGGGAATTTACAGGGTACAGAGGAATAACACCTGAGTCCTCAGGAATGGCAACGCATGAGGGGTATCATGGGCGAAACAGTATACTCTGTTATGTCCATGGTACTGCTCATGTCTATAGGCGACGGTTACTACTTTCCATCAGGTGGGCCGTCAGCTTGTTTGCCATTCTAAGTTGTTTAAAAAAAAAATAGTAATACGATTTGTATTCCAAAGTATAAAAACTATTTTGTCCAAAGACTACAATGACCGTTTACCATCAGACGGGCTGTATGCTTGTTTGCCACCTTCGTAGTATAAAAAAAATATTAACCCATAATTACGCCGACGTCGAATGCCATAAAATCAGCATGAAGGTCTCTCACTGGTAACACTTGACGAATCTTCAAATTGGCCTCCAGTACAAGCTCCATCGCCAATTTCTTAAGTTTATTCTTGTCCGCTTTGGTCATTTCATCGTTTTTATTCCATGGATAGCTGTCGACTGTCCTCAGGATAACTGGCAATTGGAAAATAATCACACAACACTTACACATACCATGTGGTCCCGGCATATACTAGGCCACCCCTTCCATTCCTGTAGGTCTCGTAAGAAGCGACTAAGGGAGGGCGAGGGATAGGTAGCAGCATCCCTCTTAATGCATCACCAAAGCCTAACTGCTGATGCTAATCCGCCTGTAAAATGGGGCCATTACTGGCCAAACCTTACGGGGCAGCCTATGTTCAGCAGTGGACAGATAATGGCTGACATGACGATGATGTTGATGACATAAACACGTATTACACAGCGCCATCTAGTTCTAAACTAAGTAGGGTTTTTTTAATGATGAAAATGTAATAATAATCCCAATTGTGCTTTCGGTATGCACAGGTAGGGTACCAATGAGTGATGACAGGTGAAGATGATAAGTAATCAGGGCCTCTAGACAAGTGGCAAGCGCATTCGTCGATGCAATCGATGTCGCTATCGAGTCCGTGAGTTGGAATGAGTCATCCGGCGTTGCTATCTCATTCCAACTCACGGACTCGCTAGCGATGTCGATTCCATCGACGAATTCGCTTGTCATTTGTCTAGAGGGCCAGTTAACACATCGCCACATCATATATATATATATATATATATATAGGTTTTTAACACTGTTTACCAAAGCACAACAGCGTTGTCTTCAAATGAAACATGTTTTATATTTTGTTTTAATTCGACAATTAAAAAAAAGCAATAAACATGGTGATTATCGAGTTCCATTCGATATTGTTACGGTACTATAAATTCCATTATATGTAATTAATTCATCGTGAAACATGAAAACATGGGCCTTCGCTACAAGGGGAGTTTTGTCAGTAGTTACCACGCTTGGTAGGCGGATATTTTTTTTTTATTGATGGGTGAAAATGGTATGGTAGCCTGCGCTAACGGGATACGCTGGCGGAGCACCAGTGAAAGGTGATAGATGAGAATGAAAACAGGCCAGTTAGCACATCATGATGAATTCATCAGGAATTAACCATGATAGTTTCCAGGGGGAACCGCGAGGAGGTCGACCTGGTTGGGTATATTGCTAGCAATGGGATTCTCAGTCTCCAATCCTAACAATCCCTTTCCCCCTGGCAACCGAAGTTAGCCTTTGGTGATATTTAAAGAGGGACGCTGCTGCCCATCTCTCGCCCTCCTTAGTCGCCTCCTTACGACACCCACGGGAAAGGAAGGGGTGGCTTATTCTATGCCGGGACCACACGGCGTCATTACAATTAATTAGTATGAATTAATTTTATTATAATTATATTTTGGTTTATTTATTTAATTAAAATTTCAATGCTGAAATACATATAAGTAAGTATACATATCGTTACAGTCGTAGAATACTGACGGATCTGACAAATATTACGTATAAAGATCCGTCAGTATTCTACGACTATGACGATATGGCGAACTTAATACCTAATGGCGTTCTCTGGGGGAAAGGGATTGTTAGTAATGGAGACTGAGAATCCCATTGCTAGCAATATACCCAACCAGGTCGACCTCCTCGCGGTTCCCCCTGGAAACTATCATGGTTAATTCTTGATGAATTCATCACGATGGGCTAACTGGCCTGTTCTCATTCTCATTTATCACCCTTCACTGGTGCTCCGCCAGCGTATCCCGTTAGCGCAGGCGGGGTTACCATACCATTTTCACCCATCAAAAAAAAACAAAATGGCGTTCTCTACCAGTCAACCATGAGGCAAGCGGAAAATTATGTAGGCGGTGCGTTTACTACTAAAATATGTATAAAATATTGTTACTACCTTCGATTACACAGATGGAGTGTCCCCATATAAATGCTTCGAGAAAAACAGGTCAACTTTTTAATATAATTTTGCGTGACAAATAGCTATGAGTGATTCCTTTATAACTTCTATATTTATTTTGTTTAATAAATTTTGCACCTTTTTAACACGCAAAAACTCATTTTATTAATTAAACACTTGTTTTTTTTTATACAACTTAGAATGGAAAACAAACTGACGGTCCACCTGATAGAAAGTGTTAACCGTCGCCTATAGACATGAGCAGTACCATGGACATAACAGAGTATACTGTTTCGCCCATGATACCTCCCCATGCGTTGCCATTCCTGAGGGCTCAGGTGTTGTTCCTCTGTACCCAGTAAATTCACTGCCATATCCCACCCTTCAAACCGAAACACAGCCATGCAAACACAACTGCTTCACGGTTGAAACACGAATGGGACAGAGGAACAGTCTCCTTCTTAAAACATCTCTAAAAGCCTAACTGCGGTTGCCAACCCGCCTGCCAAGCGTGGCAACTACTGTCAAAACTCCCCTTATGGAGATGCCTTATGTCAAGCAGTGGACAGTTAACGCCTGGAATAATAAAAAAAAAAAAATGCTTGTTATGTACGCAGACGTAGTCGCGAGTTAAAGCTAGTTTTTCGTTTTTTTTTGTTTTCAGCGACAGTAACCTGGGTAGAGTGCTGGCATAGACAACCGCCACGCCGACTGCCTTATCCGGAGTGGGACGAGAAATACGTAATAAGAAAACACAATGATATGATCACAGACATATTGAAAGGTATTTTAGTAGATAGATATACATATGTATAATTTACTAGCGGCCCGTCCCGGCTTCGCACGGGTGGACATTTTTACAACATTTTAAAAAGTGGTTATTGTGACATAACGATAATAGTTGGACATATAGTGTCGAGAAGTTTTTTGTAGTTATTGATATTTTCTTCAATATTGTAGAACATACTTGTGTTTCGGTTTGAAGGGTGGGATATGGCGTGAATTTACTGGGTACGGAGGAATAACACCTGAGTCCTCAGGAATATCAAAGCATGGGGATATCATGGGCGGAACAGTATACTCTGTTATGTCCATGGTTCTGCTTATGGCGACGGTTACGGCAAACGAGCTGACGGTCCACCTGATGGAAAGTGGTAACCGTCGCCTATAGACATGAGCAGTACCATGGACATAACAGAGTATACTGTCTCACCCATGATACCCCCCATGCGTTACCATTCCCAAGGAAATTATCTGAAACGATATTGGTCCTATTTAAATTTATACATTTCGTGCATAATATTTTTTTTCTTTATTACCATAGATATTATAATTTTGCGTGGGTGCGCGTGCGCGTGCGTGTGTGTGTGTGTGTGTGCATGGGTAAACACGTGCGTTTCTAAACAAGAAGGTCGAGGGGGAAAGGGATTGTTAGTGATGGAGACTGGGAATCCCATTGCTAGTAACATACCCAACCAGGTCGATCTCCTCGCGGTCCCCCCTGGAAACTATCATGGTTAATTCCTGATGAATTCATCATGATGGGCTAACTGGCCTGTTTTCATTCTCATCTATCACCCTTCACTAGTGCCCCGCCAGCGTACCGCGTTAGCGCAGGCGGGGTTACCATAACATTTTCACCCATAAAAAAATCCACGAAGGTCGTAAACTTCCAGTTTTGTCCCATAAAAATTTTGTTGTTATACTCCCATTTGATGCTATGTTAACTCCACAGATATAATTTTGAAGCTGCGACAAGCTGATAAAATACAACAAAGATATAAACGGTACGTCACCTTCAAACTGGGTCTCGTGGCGGCCGGCATCATGGAGACCTATATAAGTATGTTAGAACTGTACAAGAAATACACGGAACCCAAGTTAGTAACGGATCAGTCGGTGAATGTTGAGAGATTCTTCACTGCGTACCACATTATAAGTGAGTATTTGACCTCCTAAAATTAAAGAATGCGGAAGTCCTGAAAAGAGTGAACGAGAAAAGAACATTAATTAAAAAAATAGAGAATAGAAGAGACAAAATGCTGGGCCACCTTATACGACATGACGACTTTTTTAAGAGCATAATAGAAGGAAAGATGGAGGGCAAAAGAGGAAGAGGAAGACCGAGGAATAACTACATGGGACAGATAAAGGAAACACTAGGTGTCGTGTCGTGTAGGGAGGTCAGAGATATGACCTGGGATAGAGCTGGCTGGAGGAAGATGCATGAATTAGTTGCACTGACAAGAGGAAACTGTTAAATGAAAAGAGAAGATTTGACTTCCTGCGGCCGCGTGGTCCCGGCATAGAATAGGCCACCCCTACCTTTCCCGTGGGTGTCGTAAGAGAGAACTTAACGAGTTATGAGAGATATGATGATGATCAGATCTGAGGGGTTTTTAATGGGTTTTTTTTTGATGGATGAAAATGGTATGGTAACCCCGCCTGCGCTAACGGGATACGCTGGCGGAGCACCAGTGAAGGGTGATAGATGAGAATGAAAACAGGCCAGTTAGCTCATCATGATGAGTTCATCAGGAATTAACCATGACAGTTTCCAGGGAGAACCGCGAGGAGGTCGACATGGTTGGGTATGTTGCTAGCAATGGGCTTCTCAGTCTCCATTACTAACAATCCCATTCCCCCCGGTTTTTAATGGGTTCAAATGGTAAAGTAACCCCGTCTGTGCTATCGATATGCGTTGGTAGCTGGTGAGCAATGGTAGGAGAAGATGAAAGCAGGTGAGATAAAAATTAACCGCGATGGTTTCCAGAGGAAACTGACATGCTGCTATTATTTATGCTATTATTGTAATACAGGTTTAACACCTAGTACAGGCACCAGCTCCCACAAATAATATTGCAAGTTATAGATATTAAGTCCTTAATTGTTTGTGGTAAGAAATAATAATAAATAAATAAATAATACTGCTAGCAATGGGGCTGTTAGAGCCCATTACTAACAATCCCTGTCTCCCCTAGACTCAACTCAACGACTCAAGTGTTGATATTCATTTATTTTAACAGTCGCCTATAGACATGAGCAGTACCATGGACATAACAGAGTATACTGTTTCGCCAATAATACCCCCCATGCGTTGCCATTCCTGTGGACTCAGGTGTTATTCGTCTGTACCCTGTAAATTCACGCCATATCCCGCCCTTTAAACGGAAACACAGCCATGCAAACACAACTGCTTCACGGTAGAAACACGAATGAGACAGATATACCCAAGCAAACGAGTTACAATATCTGTATACTTATATTGGCCCAATAACGTCGGTTATCTTATGTATAATATGGAAATGAATCTGTCCCGATATAGACAATATCGAAATGAGTGATAACTTTTTTACATCATCAACCCAATATATAGATATCGTAATATCCAATACGCGGAATATATATATATATATATATATATATATATATATATATATATATATATATATATAATTTTTTACATTAAATATGGGATGGTGGCAACTTGGCATAATTCGGTGTTGTGTATTTCTGTTAGAGGTAAGAATATTGTTTTATTTTATTACATATTGATACTCTTTATTGTTTCCTCCAAAAGATTACAATAGTAAACTTATTATAAATACAAACAATTACAAGAAATGATCACAGTGAGAAAACAATGGGCGGCCTTAGCATTTAGCCTATAAAGGAAGGAAAAAATGTTCAATTTCATTAAATAAATTATTAGTTATATATATATATATATATATATATATATATATATATATATATATATATATATATCGAAATACCCAATATATAAATTTTAATATTCCAACAAACTAAGCCTTATTTCTTTTACCAGAAACGGACTATAACGAAATAAGGCATGAGTATATAATGTTCTACGAGATATTGGAGAACCATTTAAAACAACAAGAGGCAAAAGCTAAGACCAAGTCCTTGTTGAATTTATATAAGAAGAAACAAGCTCAGAGGTCGGACATTTTGAATGTAACGTCGCCAGGCGCCGAGGAATTTAAACGGAGTCTGAGATATAAAAAATGGGCGGAGAAATGGAACAATTTTGTACCGGAAATAGAGGGCGTTGACGTTGACATTGATAATATTAAAATTTGATTCATTTGCAATGATATTAGTTTAATTTAACTGTATTTTTGTGTAGAACTTTAGTTCGCTCACTGCATTATTTCTTCTTCTTTCGCCAAATAGCTACCGTCTTTTTTTTTCTCCACTATCCAAAGATTGTCTGGAAGAGATTGCTTTAGCGATAAGACTGCCCTTTGTACTTTAAGTGTAATATATATTTATTTTTATATTATTCTTTAATAAAGAGTATATTAATAAATAATTTACATAGGATTCGTTTATTTTCGAAAAACGTTCGTTAAAGAATAGAATAGAATAGAAATCATTTATTCAAATAAACTTACATTGAAGCACTTTTGAAAAGTCATTACATTTTTTTTTAATCTACCGCTCGTTCGGAAAGCTGTCTCATCACAAGAAGAACGAGCAAGAAACTTGCGTGTTGCTCTTTTAAATAATTTTATTATTACTTTACATTTTCAAGTTTAATTGTGTGAATACAAACCACCAATTAGCACTAATTCAATTAAATACTCAAAAAGAAAATGAAATTTTTGTTAAATGAAATTGCAGTCGTTAGTACGTCCCATTGTTGGAATAAAGTCTCCATAAGAGACGAATTTTAGTTCATTATTACCACACTGGCCAGGTGGTTTACTACAGCGTTTTGTTTATTTATGAGCGATATACAATATATATTATATATAGTTAAAATAACTATATATTGTCGCAGTGACGAATATATTTACATTCATTATTATTTAAATGTAACAATATATACTAACGATATATTTATATACTGACATCTGATATATAGATACGATTCGAGTATAACCGTTATTACTCATGTCTAGACTGTAATGATTTTAATTGCTTATTGAAATAATAATTAGTTAATTAAAAGGAATATTTTCTTAGACGCAAAATGTATGCTCCAGCAACATGGAGTCTCACTGTTTTCTGTAATTATTGTTTTTTTTTTTATTATTTATTTAAATTTGTGGGTACTAGCTGAGCTGTTTTCATTTTTTTAATGGAATTAGAAGTTACCAGAGGGAGACTTTGTACAAAAGTCGTTTGTTTGTGTACCTCTGTCCCATTCGTGTTTCTACCGTGAAGCAGTTGTGTTCGCATGGCTGTGTTTCGGTTTGAAGGGTGGGATATGACAGTAAATTTACAGGGTACAGAGGAATAACACCTGAGTCCTCAGGAATGGCAATGCATTAGGGGTATAATGGGCGAAACAGTATACTCTGTTATGTACATGGTACTGCTCATGTCTATAAGCGACGGTTACCACTTTCCATCAGGTGGGCCGTCAGCTTGTTTGCTATTCTAAGTTGTATAAAAAAACCTAGTCTCTCTAATCTATGGAGGTACTTAACCCCTTTGCTATCGGCACACGCTTGCGGGGTGCCAGTGAAATATGAAAGGTGAGGATAAAGTTGGGTCAGTTGGCCATAGTGACGGATTTCCAAAGAATTAATCACAACGGTTTCCAGTTGGAACCGCGAGGATATCGCTAGCAATGTAGCTATTAGTTCCCGTTATTATCAATAAATAAATAAATTTATGCCAGTAGTTGCCAATTTTGGCAGGCGGATTAGCAACCGCAGTTTCACTTTTGGTGATGTTTTAAGAGAGACGATACTGCCTATACCACGGCCGTTAAGTTCCTTTAGTTACCTCTTACGACACCCACGGGAAAAGAAGGGGTGGCCTATTCTATGCCGGGACCACACGCCGGATATATGTATACGTATATATGTATATACGAGTATTTATTATTTATAAGATTATTTTTGCACCATATATGCTTTATGTACAAACCCTTTCTCCTTTCGGCTTCTCAAGGTTGACGGGAAAAAATCCCTTCAAGGGATAAGTCCGCCTGTGTATTGTACATTTTTGTTATAACCTAATGTCTACATTAAAAGTAAATATACAATAGCATATAAACAAATAGATAAGAAATAACCATTTACCATCAGGCGGGCCGTATGCCTGTTAACCATGCCAGTGTTATAAAAAAGAAGGCCAATTTTTTTCCAGTGGCGTTTGTAAGAACTGCTACAGCTATGAATGATACGGAACTAAATACGTTAGCGAATGAATTCAGCGATGCGACATATTACAGGCTTGAAAGCGAAAATGAAGCCGAAGGTATGCAAGTCATCGTTATCATCATCATGAGGGATGCCAGTAGGCGTCACAGTATATTTTGTAACATATAAGCCATTAACTGTCCACCGATGAACATAGGCCTCTCTATTATAGGGGTTTTTTATGTAATTCAGAATGGGAAACAAGCTGACGGTCCACCTGATGGAGAGTGGTAACCCTCGCCTACAGACATGAGCAGTACCATGCACATAACAGAGTATACTGTTTCGCCCATGATACCCCACATGCGTTGCCATTCCTGTGGACTCAGGTGTTATTCCTCTGTACCCTGTTAATTCACTGCTGTATCCTATCCTTCAAACCGAAACACAACTGCTTCACGGTAGAAACACGAATGGGACAGAGGTGTCCAAGCAAACGTCTTTCGTTTGCTTGGGCATGTCCTCAGGAATGCCTGAGAATTCAGGTGTTATTTCTCTGTACCCTGCAAATTTACTGCCATATCCCATCCTTTAAAGGAATAATACTTGGTTAAAAACTTTTACAGATTACAAGCTTTACAATCTGGAGGAAATGGAGACTGTATTCCGGAACATGAGTGAAGCATCGAGCCGCAAGTATTATCGGCATATATACAGCTCTACTATGCTCCACCAGACCTGCTTCTTTCTGCATATGACATTCCGAGCTGCGTAAGTACGCGCATTTCATACTAGCTACAGTTAATATTGGTATCGGAGGGAGAAAGAATTGCTAGCAATGAGTATTAGTAGGCCCATTGCTAGCAATATACCCTGCCAGGTCGATCTCCTCATTCCCCCTGGAAACCATCGTGATTGATTTATTGTTAGATTCGTCACGGTGGGTTAATTGGCCTGCTTTATACTCACCTATCATTCCTTACTGGTGCCCCGTCAGCGTATACCGTTAGCGCAAACTTAGGAGACTTTGTACAAAAGTCGATTGCTTGAGTACCTCTGTCCCATTCGTGTTTCAACCGTGAAGGAGTTGTGTTTGCATGGCTGTGTTTCAGTTTGAAGGGTGAGATATGGCGTGAATTTACTGGGTACAGAGGAATAACACCTGAGTCCTCAGGAATGGCAACGCATGGGGGGTATCATGGGCGAAACAGTATACTCTGTTATGTCCATGGTACTGCTCATGTCTATAGGCGACGGTTACCACTTTCCATTAGGTGGGCCGTCAGCTTGTTTGCCATTCTAAGTTGTATAAAAAAAAACATATTATCATTCATTAAAAAAATATATTATTATGGCTCCAATATTTATATACAGGGTGGAAGTGGCAGGTTGGCCAAAACGAAGACAACTGATCCAGTTGAATAGTCTGAATCAGATGGTAGGTTATTTTTCCATTAGAAATGCACCGAAGCCATATAATTAACGATTCTTAGCTTTGACGCCGCGCAATGTATTCGAAATTTTACGATCCACACGACGCGTGACACCTACAACGCGCAGTCAATAGCGATATTTCGCAGGTAGTTTTTTTATGCTTGTGGCTTTGACCTTAAACAGTTGATTTTTTTTACAACACGGGGCAAACGAGCATGCGGCTCACCTGATGGTAAGCGACTACCGCCGCCCATGATCACCCACAACACCAGCGGCATTGCAGGTGTGCTGCCGGCCTTTTAAAGAGGAATTCGCGTCGCTGTAGGATTTTAATACGCATAATACATTGCTGTTATTTGGTATTTCATATTATTTCGCTATAAAATATTAGTATTTTTTTCTAGTATAATATAATATCATAGAGCTTAAATGAAAAAAGAAATAGGGGAAAAATTTCAAATTTTCCGGAAAGAATTTCCACTGGGTTTCATTCGGTTCAGAATAATGGTCTGAATTCACTGTTTCAGTCTTTGCCAGCCTATCCTTTACATCCTGTATATATTTTTTATACCACGTAGGTGGCGACAAGCATACTGCCCGTTTGATGGTAAACGGTCACTATAGCCTATAGACGCTTGTAAAATTAGGGGTGTCTCGTGCGCGTTCCCGACCCTGAAGATATCTTAATAAACTCTTTTTATTGGCCCCATACTATTGTCTCTAGGGAAAACCTTAGTAGAGAGCTCGTTCTACAGCCTGAGCGTTCGCGGGTGAAAATTCCTTTAAAACCGAACTGTTCTTGGCGAGCGGTGCGATGATAAAGGTGGCTGCAGGCATCATTTCGAACAATTCCTCAGAACACAATCCGTTATACAAGCGGCAGAACACACAAAGGGAGGCAAAGTCTCGCCATGGACTTAAGGGCTCGATACTGTCTGTGAGCTTGGGATCGTCGACTGTTCTCATAGTGTGTCTTTGAACCGAGACAAGAAGACCAACCTGATATCCTTATCCTCTTCAGATTGGTAGACTTCAGAAAATATTATCAAAGGAGGTATTTATACGCAAACAATAAGGAATACGAAATTGGCTATTTAACACATGAAATTATATCTAGATACCAGACAGTGTTGGAGATATTACATTACGCCATTGTTAAATTCGATGAGAATCCAAGTAAATTTAGAAACAACGCGCCGCCTACCCTCATGTTCTACTATTATACAAATGTTCTAGAACAATGTAAAGTTATAATACATCTGTGTAGAATGATGCACGAACTAGAAAAGAAGTATACCTCTAACCAGAATCCTGTTTTCGATGATTACGCATTACCAGAGAGTAAGTGTAATATTAATAAGTATAATATTTTGCCGTGTGGTCTGGACATAGAACAGGCCACATCTTCCTTTCCTGTGGGTGTCGTAAGAGGCAACTAAGGAAGGGCGAGAGATAGGAGAGATAGCAGCGTCCCTCCGAAAAACATCTCTAAAGCCTAACTGTGGTTGCCACCCTGCTTGCCAAGCGTGACGATTACTGGCATAATCCCTATTATAGGGAAGGCCTATGTTCAGCAGTGGACAGTTTTTTTTTTATTGGATGAAAATGGTATGGTGACCCCGCCTGCGCTAAGAAGGTTAAGAGCTTAGAGCAGCTTAAGCTTAAGAGCAACTGGCTGAACACTCACAGCATCAGCTGAGCCAGTTCCTTTTGCCTAATATGATACACTTTTTATATTTATTTATTTAAACTTAAATGCACAGTGAAATTCTATGTACATTTTGCGGTATTACCACCGGACGGTGTTCTCTACCAGTCGACCATTGGGCGAACAGAGAAATACGTAGGCGGTGCACTATTGAATAGAGGAAATATAAAGCAATACTTGATATGTTCGTATAATATAAACATACACATAATATATTAAATAAATAAATATATACATATAATAAATACAAACATACATAAATAAATATTACTATATAAAACATTTAAATAAAACAACTGCAATAGAAGGGCAAATAGCAATCTATGACTCAAACAGAACAACCAGCGGGAGAAGCTTAAAGGGGAAGTGATTTTTTTAAGAAATTTTATTTATTTATTTATATTTTTGGAAAACGTACAGCTGAATTACAGTCAATACATAATCAAATTTATATCTATGTTAAGCCATAATCGTTTTCACGTTTGCGTAATGACACGATCGGTTTTTATATACGCAAAATATATATATACATACATATACACACATATAATAATAATAATAATAATAACCTCGCGAATGAGAGGTTGCCGTACTATAAGTACGAGCCCCAGCCGGTCCTCGAAAGCGACAGCGTAAGGCTCTACTGGGACCGATCCATCATCACGGACAGGACCGTTCTTGCGAACAAACCTGATATCGTGGTGATGGATCGGGCACTCTCGAGGGTGTTTTTGGTGGATGTCACCATACCGCATGACGAGAACCTCGTGAAAGCCGAAACCGAGAAGAAGAGAAAATATCTCGACCTGGCTCACGAGGTGACCGAAATGTGGGGGTGACATCTACCGAAATCATCCCAATCGTTATGTCGGTGAACGGTCTTATCCCAACCAGTCTGGAACAACATCTCAGACGGTTGGGATTCCGAGGCGGCTCACTCCCGGGAAAGATGCAGAAAGCGGTGCTCTTAGATTCTGCCCGCATTGTACGCCGGTTTCTCTCCCTGGGGCCCTGAACCCCGGCCGACTGTGCTTCTGCCGGGGGTTAGTTGCCATCTCCTCTCCTTAAGAGGGGAGATGAGAATTTTAGTGAAATTTAAAAAATAATAATAAATAATAAATCTCTTTAATTTCAGGTATATACCCATAGTTAACATTTTTATATTATTAATTAAATAAATTGTTATTATTATTTTTAAAATATACATCAATTATATATATCAATATCAATATCAATCATATATATATATACACACACACATATATAATGATTAAAAAGTTATAAATTTTGACGAGACTACTACTAAAATAGTCAATTAGGTGCAGCGGGGCGAGAACCAAACAATGATTTTGTAGGTATAGGTATTATGTATGTAATATTTTTGTATTTTCTTTTGTAATTATGTTTTCTGGCAATAAATATTTTCTATTCTATTCTATTGTGATCTCAATTTTACAGATAAAAAAGGTAAGCGTAATTCCAGCAGTATGAACCAACAAGCAATAGACGACTATCTGAAGAAACGAGCAGCGGAACGATTGAAAAGGAGAAAAAAATACAAAAAGCTCAGGAAAAACCCCATGTACTTTTACGCAACGACACAAAAATATAAACGGCCAACTAAGAGGTATTATTTATTTATTTATAACAACACAGGGGCAAACGAGCATGCACATCACCTGATGGTAAGTGACTACCGCCGCCCATGATCACCCACAACACCAACGGCATTGCAGGTGTGCTACCGGCCTTTTAAAAGGGAATATGCTATTTTCTTGAAGGTTATGTTGTCGTATCGGTTCGGAAATACTGCTGCTGGAAGTTGATTCCAAAGAGTGGTTGTGCGTGGAAATTATTTAATTACAAGCTGATGCCCGCGACTTTGTCCGCGTGGTATTTGTTATTCCTGTTTAGTATGTATCGATGTATGTACCCACCTATTTATTATGTCTGGGAACACTGGACCAAAATTAACAAATGACGTGTCGTTCTCACTCTTTGCCTTAGCTCGAAATGACTTTACTTAAGTAGGTCGTGTACCAAGCTGTATAAGTTACTATAGTTGTTCAACTATCCCACGGGAACCGTTTAATTTTCCGTGATTAAAAGTATCTAAAATTTTCACCGGGGATGTAAGTTACCACCATGCAATATTTCATTTAAATCCGTCCAACAGTTTCGGAGATTTTTTTTATGGGTGATAATGGAATGGCAACCCCACCCGCGCTATCGGTATACACCGGCGGGGCACTAGTGACGGATGATAGGTGAGGATGGAGTAGGTCAGTTAGCCCATCGTGACGAATTCAACAAGAATTGTTCACGATGGTTTCCAGGGGGAACCACGTGCAGGTCGACCTAATAGGGCATATTGCTAGCAGTGGGGCTGTCAAACTCCATTGCTAACAATCTCTTTCCCTCCAGTTTCGGAGATTAGCCCGTACAAACAGACAGAGTAACGGAAAATTTAAAAAAAATCTGAATGTGTTCCAATATACTTCTAACATGCCCTGACTTGGTTTTTAGCGTTTTTTTTCCTATTCAGCAGTGGACAGGCAATAGTTGATATAATAAAGTAAAATGTATATTATTTATTGTCTATGCTTAATTTTTGTTTTTTTTTTATTTTTAGTTACTGGCCGCAACACTACGGATGGTCAATCGAATATTGGTGAAAATAAACACTTTTGTCTATGCATTCGTGTGCTTAATTTTATTTTATTTATTTATTTCTTTTATACTTTATTGTACTAAGTAAAAAATAACAAATACAGTAAATATTAATGAGAAGTGATACAAAAGGCGGCTTTATCGTTAAGCAATCTCTTCCAGACAACCTTTGGGTAGAGGACATTGAGAAAATGACAAAGTGGAGGTGGCGCACTATTATATAGATAGTAATATATATAAAGAGAGGGGAAAGGGATTGTTAGTAATGGAGACTGACCCATTGCTAGCAATATACCCAACCAGGTCGACCTCCTCGCGGTTCTCCCTGGAAACTATCATGATTAATTCCTGATGAATTCATCACGATGGGCTAACTGGCCTGTTTTCATTCTCATCTATCACCCTTCACTGGTGCTCCGCCAGCGTATCCCATTAGCGCAGGCCATACCATACCATTTTCATATGTATATAAACATATATATATAAAAACAAATATATATATAAACATAAAATTCAAAATTCAAAATTCAAAATTCAAAAATCATTTATTCATGTAGGACATTTTAGCCGCTTATGAACGTCAAATTTTTACATTATAATTTTATTTTTTTCCCTACCGTCCAGTTCGGTATATAGATCCAATACACATACTTAATACACATACACCATACACATATTTAATAGCGCACGAACAACAGGAGAGGATGATGTAGGAAAATGAAGAGAGAACACAGGAAAATAGTAGTAAAGGGAGAGATAGTTGGTTAGGAGGCAAATGTATCTTGTAAAACACAGCGAGTCGTGCAATCTAGCGGCGGTGTGCTTATGCGCGTCATTTTTAGCGGTCATGTTTACTTGATAGATCTATATGGTAAACTTAGCAGCGCCTCTAGCGGATGGTTTTGGAAACTCAGGTTTCTATACAAACTTTTTTTATGATACTTAGAATAACCAACGAGCTAATGGTAAATGGTAGCCATTGTTTATAAACGTGAACAGAACAGTGGATGTTACGGAATACTCTGTAATATTTGTGGTGGTCTTCATGCGTTGGACATCGCTTAGGACTGTTATGTTAATATGTATATCACCAGAGGGAGACTTTGTACAAAAGTCGTTTGCTTAGGTACCTCTCCCATTCGTGTTTCAACCTTAAAGCAGTTGTGTTTGCATGGCTGTGTTTCAGTTTGAAGGGTGGGATATGGCGTGAATTTACAGGGTACAGAGGAATAACACCTGAGTCCTCAGGAATGGCAACGCATGGGAGGTATCATGGGCGAAACAGTATACTCTGTTATGTCCATGGTACTGCTCGTGTCTATAGGCGACGGTTACCACTTTCCTTCAGGTGGGCCGTCAGCTTGTTTGCCATTCTAAGTAATATAAAATATGGACGCCTGCAGTACTAAGCACTCACGTGCACGTTACCAACCCTGAAAAAAGCTTAATACTCCATTTTTAAAGAAATCCATACTGTAATTTCAAGAGAAAAACTCGACAACGAGCTCATTTTACAGCCAGACCAAAATTTATTGACCTATCCAGACAAAATAACAAGCTATCACCTTATCGCCAACTTAACACCCAAACAATATATGTTTTTTTTTATATACGAAGCACATAAATACGTCTCAACTATTTAAACTTCAACAATACGACATAATAGCAAGAGAGATCATTTTAAAAGTATATATATTTTTTTTTATCAACTTTAATTACAAGTTTATCATTTGCTTACAAAAATTGAAGACCTAACGCTTCTGTTATCAGGTATTATCGCACAATATGTCAAACGAATTCAATGTCGTCATATGATATTTATATTGCTTCGTTTCAGTCTCGTACTATCCGTCTTTGCGTATGTCCGTCTATCGTATCGCTACGCTAATTATTCGCGAATACACATTCGTATTCCTATTTTGATTTTCGCGCCTTTTTATCGCCATCATCTGCATACTTGTGCATACATTCCATAATTATTCCATTTTTAAATTGTGTTCTACAAATTAATCTGTGCAGTGTTTTCACTATCTAAGTTACAACTGTACGATATATTGTAATTATCTTATCATGTGAGTACTTATTATTAATCTGTGTTTACTTTTTTAAATGGCGAATTGTTAATTAATGTAAATTAAGTATTTATGATACAAGTAGGTATGTAAATATTGCACAATATTATGTCATTAATGGTGGAACTTATATTTGTAAATTGAAAGTCTTTTTGATTGAATTCTAATTGATAATGATATACGTACCTATCTAAAGACACTACGCACATATTATAAATTTGTTTAGATACTTGCCTAACAACTTAAAGTAAATACAATAAATACTTCGAAAATTATCTATCATCATTCTTCCTTGTTTACTTATCAATTTTAATTTTTATCCTTATGTTGTATCACAGACAAATCTGATTTTTTTAAGGCGCTATATTATACACTAGCGCCACTGACAGGTGTTCGATTTTTGAATAATTTGTCTCTACAATTATCTATTACGTCTACGCACTACGTCCGCGTTACGTCACACAAACATGGAGGTCGTTCATAATAGGAAGTTATTTTACAAATGAAAATAGATTTTATATCTAATGCAATAGGTCTTCTTATAGCAAATTTTCCTTACTTGAATATTTTACATACGATTAAGGAAAATGTTTTGTATAATTTTATATTAGACAAATTACAAAACTTTTAAAAACATTTTGATTCAGGTTTTCATTTTTTTTTGACTACTTGTTTATAAGACTGACAAATTGAGAATCTCCTCCTCTTGCGTCCTCTGCGCCAAACCTTAACCTTGACCATGTCTTGTGTCACCCGTGACCTCTCATAACCGTGACTGGCTAAAAGAAACATAGACAAAAAGAAAATCCGTCTAAAAGCTTTTGATATTATATTCCAGGGCTTCGTCTGTATATATCAGTACAATAAAGTTTCCTATGTGCCAAGATAGGATACCTACCCGTGTACGTACCAAATTACATTCAAAAATTGGTCCCATCATTTTTTTAAATGATATTTATCCGTTCAGAAATTTTTGCGTAAAAGTATATATATAATAAACGGTGATTATATTTTTATTATTATTTATTTTTGTTGTAGCTTAACTTTTTGACAGATATAAAAGGTCCTATTTTTTTTTAAATAACCGCAAAATATCTAGGTATAATCTAGGTAGATATAAGGCCGCCCATTGTTTTCTTAGTACGATGTATTTCTTGTAATATTGTTTTTGTTAACTATGGTAATCATTTGGGAGGAATAAAAACTAGTATTTCTCTATCTATGTATCTAATAATATATAAATCCCCTTCCTTTCTTGTGGGTATCACAAGATGCGACTGAGGCAACTTAGTGGACAAGAGATGGGCAGCAGTGTCCCTCTTAAAACATTACCGAAGCCTAACTGCGCTTACCAATCGTGGCAACTACTGGCAAAATCCTCCTTTATGGCGGAGGATTAAATTCAGCAGTGGACATTTAACGGCTGATTTAATAATTATACATATATCTAATAAATATAGAATTAAAAGTGTCTTTACCGATAAATGGTAAGGTGTATCACAGATGTTCTGTTTCAAGCCTGGGTTGCCAGATTGGGTACTTTTTTTGCTATTTTGATTAAACATTATTAGTCTTTGAGAAATTTTCAAGAAATTAAATTGTTGAAGAAATTTTTAGAGAGAAATTAAATACGTACCGGGATTTTTAAAATTTTTGGTATTGTACAATTGTAAATTTAGTAGAATACACCAAAATATACCAATAAAGAGAATATAATTTAAAATTGTGTTCCACAAAAAAAAACCAATTTCAGTTGATTTAAATATAAAATTACTGAATCGATTTTGATAAAATTTATATGGCGTCAATCTTCAAGTATATCCTTTGAAATAAAAAAAGATTTTTCCATATCGCTATATAACTGACGGAGGTATGAGGTAACAAACAATATATATGCCTTTGGGCATTTACTTTATCTCTGTCATATTTTTACGTATTATCAGTGTGTTTTTTTTATACAACTTAGAATAATAAACAAGCTGACGGCCCACCTGATGAAAAGTGGTTACCGTCGCCTATAGACATGAGCAGTACTATGGACATAACAGAGTATACTGTTTCGCCCATGATACCCCCCATGCGTTGCCATTCCTGAGGACTCAGGTGTTATTCCTCCGTACCCAGTAAATTCACGCCATATCCCACCCTTCAAACCGAAACACAGCCATGCAAACAACTGCTTCACGGTAGAAACACGAATGTACAATAAAGTATAAATAAATAAATAAAAATATATAGTACATCTGAATTAAGAACCCTTTTTGAAGTCTATTGAAAATTGTTTCACCCATAGATAATAATAATAAACATGCGTAGCTGCGGAAGGTCGTTAATCGCTTACAAACGAATAGAGTCAATACGATATCTAGATTTGACACGTAGATATTAATAAGCGCCAAACAAGATATATATTATCTAATAACATATTTAGTTGTTACGTAACCTAACAACTATTAACAAAATTGAATATTTGAAATTCGAACCCTTACATTCTATAGATAAAGGCTTCGAGTGTCAAAAACCTGTCAATATTTAGATAACGAAATCGATATATTTTTTTAATTTAAACAAAACGCGCCATTTTTTCTGTGTTGTAAGTAATTAGATTAAAACATTCCTAGATTGATTCAGTCTATTTTTTTTTAATGAGTTTATTTGCATTAAACAGTCTTAAATTTATTAACAAAGATCACGTAGTATTTGGCACCTGTTTAATTGCCTTAAACGATGGAGGCATGCAATTATTTACATTTTATAAAATTTTACATTTGAATTGAGATCTATTTTTTCTGATTAATATAAATATGCATGTGTAGGAATTGCATATATATATATTGTATGGTATACAAAACCATTATCACCCATTAAAAAAAAATTAAACTCGTTTTATAATATTTTATAAATTATAGTATATATATTTTATAAAGTATGGTAAGCTCGCCTGCGCTATAGGTATACGCTGGCGAGACATCAGGGAAGGATGATAAGTGACGATGAAAGCAGGTCAGTTTGCCCATCGTGATGAAATCCACCAGAACTATCTACGATGGTTTCCAGAGGGAATCGCATGGAGGTCGACCTGATTGGGTGTATTGCTAACAATGGGTCAGACCCCATTACTAACAATCCCTTTCCTCTATATATATGTATATATATATATATACCTTCCTTACCT